ATCATCCTGAAGTGCCAGTGTGGATCATCCAGAAGTGCCAGTGTGGATCATCCAGAAGTGCCAGTGTGGATCATCCAGGAGTGCCAGTGTGGATCATCCATGAGTGTCAGCGTTGATCATCCAGAGTGTCAGCTTAGATCATCCAGAGTGTCAGCCTGGATCATCCAGAGTGTCAGCCTGGATCATCCAGAGTGTCAGCCTGGATCATCCAGAGTGTCAGCCTGGATCATCCAGAGTGTCAGCCTGGATCATCCAGAGTGTCAGCCTGGATCATCCAGAGTGTCAGCCTGGATCATCCTGAGTGTCAGCCTGGATCATCCTGAGTGTCAGCCTGGATCATACACAGTAGTGCTGAGAGGTCCCAGGGGACGACACACCCGTCAGCACACTTGTCAGCACCTACTAATAAGTCATGGTTCCTGACACATGCAATTAGTGGCCTCGGACACTACTGTGTCAGTCAGTCACATTGATTCTGACGGATTGCGGCCACCCAACAGCAACAGCCGGTAAAACCGCGAATAAAACTAATCCCCTTTCAACGTTTTTTTTTTTGGTCATTATTCTGCTTATATAAAATATTAATTAAACATTCGCATTTTACATTTTTTGTTAAATTTCGAAAAATTTATGAGGCATAAGCTTATTTTGTTAAGAATTATCAATTTTTAAATGTTGGTAAAACTGTGTGTGTAAAAAAAATGGGGGCACACAATGGAAAGTTCTTGGGTTCGATTGCCGGGTGAGTCTCCATACGTCTGTAGGCCCCTGTTTACCTAGCAGTAATTAGGCACCTGGGATAGTTGTTATGGGTCGCATCCTGAGGGAGAGGAGAGTAGGAACCCAGTGTTAGTAAGCCACATAGCCTGGCTTTCTTGGGGGTTATCCTGGCTTGAAATCTTTTCTGGGATAATAAGCCCCAAAAAATCATTATTATCATAATTTGATGAGGAAAATGCAACTCTAGTCATTATTACTTACAAAATAGTTTTGAAAGGCTAAATGAATCACCGTTTAATGATTTAATATATAATACATAGGCGGGGGTTTAATAGCCCTATTACCCAAACCATACCCATCCAGGTATACCCACAGGGTGGTATACCCACAAGGTGGGTATACCCACAGGGTGGGTATACCTGGAGTATACCTGGAGAAGGTTTCGGGGGTCAACGCCCCTGAGGCCCGGTCTGTGACCAGGCATCATGGTGGATCAAGGCCTTATTAACCAGGCTGTTACTGTCGCACGCAACCACAGCCCGGCTGGTCAGGTACTGGCTTTAAGTGTCTGTCCAGCGGTTTCTTGAAGACAGCCAGGGGTCTATTGGTAATCCCCTTTATATATGCTGGACATCTCATGGCCATCCTGTGGACTGTAGTCATACCATAGCCATAGTTCGGACATTCACATGTACACCACCAGTTAGAAATACCTAAATCCTCCAAACTGCAATTTCGGTAAACATGTATGTATACACAAAGGAGCAAAATACACCTCTCTGTGTATATACAGTGAGCGATGTACGCCTCACGATGTATATAAACTGAGAGATATACACCACTCGGCTTCAGATGTCCTTCCTACCAAGTCTCCCACCACCTTTCTAGTGAGAATGAAGTGAGACAGTCCACGACTTCTTCCTCCTTCCTTTTCTTTACGATTATGGCTTCTCTCTCTCCCAGTCGGTGGTCCTGTTTACCTCTCACCACCTCTCACAACACCTTCTTCTCTTATATCTATCCCTTCCATTCCGGTCCTTTACCATCCCTCCACCCTGGGCTCGGACATCATCCCCTGGAATGGTACTCACTTCCGTCCCGAGCGTTTTTATTACAACCAGCTACCATCTTTATTTTTTTATTGGGAGCAGTATGGCTTTTGTTCAAGGAAAAAAAACACCCTCATAGCTGAGTTTCTTTTAACCCAAAAATTTTTTGCCTTCAAAACAAACGTATATCTTGGGTAATTACTAGACGCTAAGTTTATGGTGTTAGTTCCTATTCACACCCAAAGATGCCCTGTTCGAACCCTTTACGATGGAATAGGGGATTAATTGGACGCATGGGCAAATCTATTAAGACTTGTTGCCCCTCTTACCTTTCAGTAAATAGGTACCTGGAGATTTGGCGACTGTCGTGGGTCGCATCCTGAAGGGAGGACCTGAAAACAGATCCCAGTGGAAATAAGCCACATTGGGTTATACTGGGTTATTAATCTCACCGGGGTTACTGATTAACAGAAAGACTTCTTCTGTGCTTGTGTCCAATGAGTTACCTTACATAAGTGGCTTTACTAAACTGTTGGGTGTTTATATCTCAACACACTACAAAAAAGACCTGAAATCTGACCAATTGTCTATAAGGGAAACCGAGCCATTCTCCCTCCATTGGAACTCGTGCAGATTTCGACGTTGTCAAGTGTTTTGATCTGATTATCTATTGCCCATGGGTAACAAGTTACCTCCAGGAGGAAGCCATCGATTACCTCTCTTTACAAACACAGAACACTTGATCCACTAACAGTTTAGCGAATCAAGTGTTTAGATTATTCACTTATCAGCGCAGATGATTTTCTCATATTTTCGCTTAGTTACTCTAATATATTCAAGAAAATACCAGTCTAAAAGAACTTGGGAAATGCTAATGTAATACTGTACCAGTCTAACATAGCTTAGAAGGTACCAGTCTAACATAGCTTAGAAGGTGCCAGTCTAACATAGCTTAGAAGGTGCCAGTCTAACATAGCTTAGAAGGTACCAGTCTAACATAGCTTAAAAGGTGCCAGTCTAACATAGCTTAGAAGGTGCCAGTCTAATATAGCTTAGAAGGTGCCAGTCTAACATAGCTTAGAAGGTGCCAGTCTAACATAGCTTATAAGGTACCAGTCTAACATAGCTTAGAAGGTACCAGTCTAACATAGCTTAGAAGGTGCCAGTCTAACATAGCTTAGAAGGTGCCAGTATAACATAGCTTAGAAGGTACCAGTCTAACATAGCTTAGAAGGTACCAGTCTAACATAGCTTAGAAGGTACCAGTCTAACATAGCTTAGAAGGTGCCAGTCTACTGAAGCATAGCAAATACATGTACAAGTCTAACACAGCCTACCGGAAGCAAATAACTGTCTACTATAACTTAGCAAGTGCTAGTTTCAGTGTTGCTCATATAGGACGTCTAACACCTCCTAAAAAACCAGTCTATCAGTCAATACAGAGAAGCAAGACAATGTTTCCCTCACTGGCAGACTTTCTGATGAGTCCTGAGAAATACTCCTCGTCATCTTCCAAGGTTCTCTGTGATGATAACTAGACACATGTGCAACATCTGTGTTACTTTATTGTAGACGTTTCGCCAACCAGTGGCTTTATCAATACAAATTCAAGGGCATAACTGGACGACAGTAGAACTATACACAAAAGATGAGGTAAACGGTCCCTCAGCCTCGGAACTGGTGAAGAGCACCGTAGTCTTGTAGACTCTGAGGCACAGGCAAGAAAGCTGGCGCTTATATACCATTCACGTTCTTCCCTGTACTGGACTGAAGAAGCCACTGGCTAGCGAAACGTTACCGTAATAAAGATTCCCAAACGTTGCATAAGTAACTCGGTTTTTTCAACTATTTACGTCATAGGAATTGTCAGTGTCCGTGGAACGTCGACCTGGTCCCTTCCAACAGATTTTCGCCTGGCGTGGAGGCTGTTTTGAGTCTACTTATATCGCGCTAATCAGTCAATTTTCTCATTATTCTCCTGACGGGAAAGAAGGGGAGGTTATTAAAGCCTCCCGTTATTGCATTTATCTTTATTGCGTATTCACGATTCCATTTCGTCACAGAAAATAGTGTAATTTTTTAATTCGTGTTTGAGAGGGCGGTATTTTGTAGGTTTGCCGATTTTGTCTTGGTCCGGGTCTTTTCCAGTGGTGACCAGGCGAAACAGGGTCAGTATGTATGGACTTCAGTATAGCCTTTGGTAAAGTAGCTGCACATGGAATAGGCGTAGAAATTATTTCTTGGGTCGGGGCATGGCTAATTAACAGGTAGCAGTTTGCATTACTGGGGAGAAATCGAGAAATCAGAATGGGAACCTGTTACGAACGGTGTGACACAAGGGCCAGTATTAGGAGCATTTCTGTCCCTCCATATTCCTACCCACACTATTTGCACCCTATTGCTCCTTATTCATGGGAACAAATATTCTTAATACTGCTACACGAGGAAGAGCAAGAGAATATTTCCCTGTAAACTTGAGTGAATATTAAAATGGTATACATACTGACAGGTTGATAAGTAAGAACAATGTTCCAGACTATGGAACAAATCTTTTCTCCAGGCTGAGGGACTGACCACCTGAAAACTAAGTTTTCCAGGGTGATGGACTGCGGACATCCAGGTGCTATTCCAGGGCAAGTCGAGACGTATGGGCAAGCTTTCTAATACCTGCTGTCCCTGATTAAGTCACTTTGTCTGACTTTTTTTTTTTAGGCTACCCTAGGTTCTCTACACATGATAATCTCCATAACTGTAGTTGTGTTTACGTACCTGACTAAACTGACTAACAGTAAGCAGGTACTTGAGTCCTAGTCGACTGTTGTGGGTGGCATCCTGGGAAGGGGAGAATAACAGAACGCAGGTATGTAAGAAACTACAAATCTGCTTAAGGGATTCAAGTGAAATTTACCGCTGATGCAGTAAGATTACTGTATCTAATGTATCTAATAATCTATCTAATAATGTGGAATAGACTTAAATTGATGATCAGAAAATTCTCTTTTGTTTTACAAATTAGTTATATTTTCTTGTAACTATTACTTTTAACGACCTCATTATAAGTAAAGGAATAAATTACTGTATAGAAAGGTAATTATATAATTAATAACAATATTAAACATGGTTTATACTGTACAAATTTCTTTAAAGGGAAACCGAGTCTTTAAATCTCGATTAGTAGGATCATTCCATTATTATTTTCTGATATCCTTTACAAGTAGTACAAAAATAGTTTCAATCATACATGCTTCTAAATATTTTTTATAAAGTTTTAGAAAAATACATATTATTATAATCTGCCCCACAATTTTTTACAAAAAAAAAAAAAAATAAACAAATATCGCCAGTGTTGACGGAAAGTCTTCAGAAAAGATCGCGACAGCAAGGTAATACCCGAGTGAAAAAACTAAGTTTATTTAGGTAAAATTACGCAGATTTGTAGATAATTACGGCTGTCTTACATAGTACCATACGTGTAAGTTAATCGAGATAACCTGTGAGAGTCATAGTGACTTTCTAGTGCCATTATTGCCGTGTTAGGAGACTAGTAACCTAGCACATCATGGGAATTACATCCGCATGAAATCTAGATTATTTAGAGGTTAAATATCTATAAACTTGCTTAGAAACTAGAGAATTCAGCCTTAGAAGTGATCTAGAAGTATTACAAGCGTTAGTTTTATTATTTTTTTTTATAATTCTAGTCCACCTCATTTACGGGTTTTTCCAACTCGATAAAATAAAATAATTTTTTAAGCAGTTAAGATAAGATTTGTTGGAGTTTTTAACCTGGGTTAGGGAGGGTTAGCCACCCAGGATAACCCAAGATAGTAAATGTGTCATTTAGGACTGTGTCGTATTTCCATTGTGGTCCTTCAGTATTCTCCCCCAGGATGCCACCCATACCGGTCCACTAACACCCAGGTACCTACTCACTGCTAGGTGAACAGGGACAGCAGGTGTAATGTAACTTAACACCCAGGTACCTACTTACTGCTAGGTGAACAGGGACAGCAGGTGTAATGTGACTTAACACCCAGGTACCTACGTACTGCTAGGTGAACAGGGACAGCAGGTGTAAGGAAACGTGCCCAACGTTTCCACCCGTTACTGGGATCGAACCCCTGACACTCAGTGTGTGAGGCCAGAGCGTTGCCATCCGAGCCACGGGGCACCTCATAGTTCACACTAGAAAACCCTGGGTTGATCCAGGGTTAGGCAAGATGCATGGGAAAATCTCATTACACCCAAAATCCCAGATTTTTTTTTTTTTTTTTAGCAGTATATGGGTATCTAAGAGTTTCATCTGTCTCTTGTGAATTGCATCAAGCAATAGGTTCACCAGTATTGTCCTGGCCCGGGTCTTTTCCAGAAATCGCATTAAGTGTATTTAGGTACAGGTACACATAAGTACAATTATCATAGTGTAAATTACCCAAGACAGAGGAGGATAGAATAATTCCAAATGGAAATGCAGTTTTGTGTGACCCTTGTGGGTATAGTGCTTAGTTATGATTTTAATAATAAATCCAAATGGAAATGAGACACTCTGACAGTCTTGATGCTTCATAAATATATAAAGGCTGATCAGAATCGGCATTTTTCGAGACAGACCAGAATTTGGGTGTTAATAATCTTAAGAATTTCCTCTCCTTTAAATCCAAGAATGTGTTGATATTCTGGAAACTTATTTTTTCAGCTAATTGTGATCTTCTGTTAATAATAATTTGACTTTTTTAACAAAATTTCATAGGCAGCTTTCTAACTCTTCTGGTTTCTTATACTATTTTGAAGAAAAAAAAATTTCATTCTATATTTTTTTTGGGGGGGATGATTTTTTTTTTGTGGCCTTTAAAGAGAATGATATATTTGTCTTTAATGTAACTAGACAGTTCTAATAAAAATTAGATGTTAATCAGCTTAGAAAATTAACAAGAATTTAAAAAAAATTAATGATTAGATCAATAATTAATGTGTAGATAAATAATTTACTTTTTTATTAATTTTTATCTTTTAATGTGCAGTATGTATACTTTTTATGATTTCGCTATGTTCCAGATTTACAAAATGGTGATTTATTCATGTGTTTTCATTTAAAGAACAAAAAAGCATAATACTTTGACTGGAGCAATATAAAAATAACCCACACATAGGTTAGATAAGCTTATGATGACATTTTGGTCCAGCTTGGCCATTTACAAGTCACACTAATGTAAATTGTAAATGGTCCAAGTTTGACTGAAACATCATCGTAAGCCTCTCTCTCCTTTGTGCGGGTTATTTGCATCTGTTGTTATTTATTACAATACTATTTCAATTCCTGAAATGTGAGCAATGGTGCCTTACTTTTTTGTGATTATGATATGGTTTATTCTTAGTTTTTAGGTGAGATCCCAACAATGTCAGATAATGAAAGTGAGGAGGAAGAAGTGCCAAAAGGACCTGTGGAAAATGCCTGGGCCATTAAAATACCAGAATTTAAAAAAGGGGAGATGAAAAGTCACCTACTAGAAGAAAGTTCATTCTCCGTACTTTTCCCAAAATACCGAGAGAAATACCTCAAGGAGTGTTGGCCTTTGCTTGTAAAAACACTAACTGTAAGTAATGCAGATGTTTGATGTAAGATTATGTAGTAAAATTATATAATGTCCTTGGTAGATTTTAATGTACATTTAGAAATGCTTTTCTGTATTGTACAGTTTAACTGAACTGAAAATATAAGAGATTATGTATAGTACAAAATTTGCAAATTTCAGTTAATTCACTTCCATGTTAGCTCTGTTTTTTCCATGGTTTTATATCAGACTTAAATTGGATTTGTTTAATTGTATGTGTGAGCTACTTAATTTTTTCTCTCAATGACCAAATACGTAAGTATAGTTATTGTGTATGCATAATATAAAATTCTAAAACATCTATGTGTATGTATTTGGATAAAGCTTTTACAGAATACTTACATTTTTTTATTACTGTTCAAAATGTTCAAAACGAGAGATGCCAAGCCAATGATGATCCTTTTCAAATCACTTGTTCTCTCTAGGCTGGAATACTGCTGTACATTAACATCTCCATTCAAAGCAGGTGAAATTGCAGATCTAGAGAATGTACAGAGAACCTTTACTGCACGTATAAGTTCTGTCAAGCACCTTGACTACTGGGAACGCTTGGAAACACTTGACTTTTACTCATTAGAACGCAGGATAGAGAGATATATCATAATCTACACTTGGAAAATCCTGGAAGGAATGGTCCTGAATCTGCACACAGAAATTGCTCTCTACGAAAGTAAAAGACTGGGCAGGCGATGCAAAATACCCCCAATTAAAAGTAGGGGCGCCGTTGGTACACTAAGAGAAAACATCATAAGTGTCCGGGGCCCAAGACTGTTCAACAGCCTCCCACCAAGCATAAGGGGAATTATCAATAAACCCCTGGCTGCCTTCAAGAGAGAGCTGGACAGATACCTAAAATCAGTGCTGGATCAGCCGGGCTGTGGCTCGTACGTTGGACTGTGTGCGGCCAGCAGTAACAGCCTGGTTGATCAGGCCCTGATCCACCGGGAGGCCTGGTCGTGGACCGGGCCGCGGGGGAGTTGATCCCCGGAATAACCTCGAGGTAGACTCCAGGTAGATAGATACTACCTTCCCATTTCCTCTTTATTTCTTAGTTAAAGTGAAAATTTGGCAAAAGTAACTGTTGTACCATAGACACTAATAGTAACCAGGGCCGGATTACCGCATAGGCAAACTTGGCATTTGCCTAGGGCCCCGCGCATTTGCGGGCCCCTGCGGTCCAAGGGGTTCAGGGGCTCGTCCAAGACTGCGCACATGGTGCAAGTGCAAAGGGGTCCCTACCTAAAAAGTTCAAGTGTTTGGAGAGTAAAATTGATTTTTAAAAATTAATCAAAACAAAAATAAATGATGAAATAAAATAAAATAAAAATAAATAAAAATAAAAATTACTTGAGTTTATATGATTTGATAGTCTTATGCATGATGCAATGATAACAATAATGGTCAGTGATTTATAAAGGGAATCATAGTGCTGTAGTGGTTATGCTGAATAAAATAGGTACATGATGTCACTACTTTAATAGCCTAATCTAGTAATACTATGCTGTCTTGAGTTTATTCTCTTTAAAATGCATGATTTAACAAGATAGTTATAATGGCTGTTGGTAAATGGTTTTGGTTGTCTTGATGTACTTTCCCTATTAAATTTAATCTAAATATCCAGAATGTATTTAATTAGACCTTAAACAGGCTCACACCGACCCCCCCCACCCCCAAGCTGGAAGGGGTCGCTTCGCTTACTTGTAACTCAAAGGAGCCCCACCAATCTGAATAGCCTAGGGCCCGGAGACTTCTTAATCTGGCCCTGATAGTAACCAATGTAATTTGTTCATCCAGAAGGTGAGTTTGCTAAGTGCATGACAGATACACTTCCTAACTCTACTCGGCTTGTTCTCATTATATATTTAAGAAATTTTGTTATGGCATGTTACTTAATCATTTGAGAATAAAACAGCTGTGTTTGATAACACTTACCTCAAGTGCTCTAACAAATTCAAAATACAGCTGGTGTCATGTTTGGAAAATTTATTTTATTGCAATAAAATTGATCTCAAGCCATACTTGAGCCTTGGAGGTGGGATGCACACTCGAGGAGGGGTGAGGGGGTTGTAGCTTGGAAGGTCATCTGAACTGTGATGTCAGCATCCTTCTGGCAGGACAGTGATTGAATGAATGACGGTTAATGTGTTTCTTCATTTTTGGGGTAGCCCTGCCTTGGTGGGAATGGACATTGTATAAAAAAAATTATTTCAATATTTTCCTAATATATGTTTCTGTTTACAGGAATATGGAATTAAAACTGAGCTCGATCTTATAGAAGGAAAAATGACTGTATTCACAACAAGGAAGACTTGGGATCCGTATATAATTTTAAAGGCTCGTGATATCATTGTACTTCTAGGAAGATCAGTCCCTATTGAACAAGTAATTAAGGTTCTTAAAGATGATGTTACGCATGAAATCATAAAGGTAATACATATATGGCATCTCAAATTGGTTTAGTATCATTCTGATTTGTTTTATAAGTTTAGATGTCAGTACATTTATTTAATGGTTCAAATGAGTCTGCTGTATATGTGTAAATTTCTCTGCATTTTCAGCATTTCAGGAACTACTCTCCCACAGACCATTTCTCTTTTCAAATAACAGCATTACATTGTTTTTACCCAACATGTAAGAGGCCTAATTAATATAATAGGTTGTTGTTGTGGTTCAGTATAAGTCTGTAGGATGCACTATTATTGAAATGTTACGAAGGATACTAAATATGTTAGTATAATGCAAGAGTAAAGCACATTATCGTGGCGATAACAATATTTCTTATATTTTTTCTTTTTAGATTCGCAACATGGTTCGTAATAAAGACAGATTTGTCAAACGAAGACAAAGGTTAATTGGTGCGAATGGCACTACACTGAAAGCCCTCGAGTTACTGACAAGCTGTTATGTGCTTATTCAAGGTGGAACAGTTGCTGCCATTGGGCCTCACAAAGGAGTTCAGCAGGTTAGCTTGCAACTCATAGTTTCCACTTTTACACTTAGTTATGTGATCTTTTAATCTGATAATCAGAGAAGATTAGTAGTGCTGTTAGAGTTGTTCTATGAAGTTTTTTCATCTGTTATTCATTTTTTCAGGCAGTAAACTAAGTAGTCTTCCTTCCAGTTATTCTGATCTATATTTCCCCAACCTTTGTGCTAATCTTTCAGCGACTTATTTTCCCATTCTTTATTTGACCTTGTTATTCTTTCCTCGTTTTTTCTTAGTTCATTGACAATTTCCACACAACACATTCTTTTGACATCCAGATCAGCATGTACAACCTAGTATCTTTTATTATGCTAGTGAGGAGGGCTCTTGAGCCAAGGATGGGGACTTATCCTCTCCTTCCTTGGATCTGACCTCGAAGCCTCCCTTCCCCCGAGCATTATATAATCACTATAGCTTCCTCCTCTGATTACAATATGTTTATACTGAGAATGTGTTGTAAATACATATACAGTAGACCCCTGGTTTTTGTCCTTAATCCATTCCAGAAGGTCGGCCGAAATCCACAATGTACGAAAACCAAAGTAATATTTCCCATAAGAAATAATGTAAATCCAATTAATCCGTTTCATACACCCAAAAATATTAACAAGAACATAAATTTTATAGAGAATAAGTATAGTGTTGTAGCTCTTCAGTGGTTAGCTCTTCCCTGTGGTTGTCCACCAACTCTTCCACATCCTGGCCTCTCATATCCAACCCCATGGACTTTCCCAAAGCCACAATAGATTCCACAACAGGCATAGGGTTGTTAAGTTTACAGTAACTTATATTAAGTTAGTAATAGAACTAGGCATTAAAAAAAAATAAAAAGTAAAATATACACAGTACATTCATTACTTACCTTAAAATATTTGTAGTCTTAATGTAGAGTGAGAGGTGAGTAGTATTTATTTGTAGTCCCAGGCAGACTACATCCCAGGTGGATGTAGTCCGCCTGGGCTATACCTATCGGCTACATACACTGCTGCCCACAGCCATATTATTACCGTCGACATACAATGTTTACCGAGTCTAATCATTTCTAACAACTGCCTTTAGATGCCATCATAAACACAGTAATGAATAATTCATGTTGAGAATTGTAAACAAAACGGAGTGGGGGAGTGACTGGGCCAGACGCAGATTCATACAGTTTTCTCTAATGCTGGACCAGAAAAAACGTAATGTTTTCCCTCCACCGATTTGCCCCTTGATAGCATACAAACATTGCATGCTTATATGCTATATAATGTGTTTCTTATATAATTTTGAAGAAAATATCATAGATGGATTAATGAAAATGTCTATATTAACCTAAAATAAGACATATAATGTGCCCAAGAGTGAGTCACAAACATATGAGTGGCCCAGGCGCACGCGTCTGGTACCGACAATTTCCAAGCGGATGTACAAAACCCAGGGGAAAATTTTGCCCAAAAAAGTGCTCGAAATCTGAATTGTATGATTTCAGCACTGGACAAAAATCAGGGGTCTACTGTACATTGAGAATGTGTCATGAATTCATATTTATACAGAAACACAGGCCCTCCCCCCTCCCCACCCCATAAAAAAAAATTGTCCTCATGTTTGATGCTGATCGCCAAAATTTTGGTAATAAAATAAGCTGTTTGCATTTTCAGATTTGCAGTAAGGAAAGCAAAGAAAACACTGTCACTAACTATTATTTTTGGACTAGAACATTTAAGTGCTAGTTTAGTGCTATGCAAGTGTATGGAATAGGAAGTAAGTTACTAAATGCTGTAAAGAGTTTTTATGAGGATAGTGAGGCTCAGGTTAAGGTGTGTAGGAGAGAGGGAGATTACTTCCAAGTAAAAGTAAGTCTTAGACAGGGATGTGTAATGTTACCATGGTTTAATATATTTATAGATGGGGTTGTAAAAACAGTAAATGTTAGGATGTTGAGGAGAGGGGTGGGATTAAATTATGGGGAATCAAGTACAAAATGGGAGTTAACACAGTTACTTTTTACTGGTGATACTGTGCTTATGGGAGATTCTAAAGAAAAGTTGCAAAGGTTAGTGGACGAGTTTGGGAGTGTGTGTAAAGGTAGAAAGGTGAAAGTGAACATAGATAAGAGTAAGGTGATGAGGGTATCAAACAATCTAGATAAAGAAAAATTGGATATCACATTGGAGAGAGGGAGTATGGTAGAAGTGAATGTTTTCAGATATTTTGGAGTTGACTTGTCAGCGGATGGGTTTATGAAGGATGAGGTAACCATAAAATTGATGAAGGAAAAAAGGTGAGTGATGCATTGAGGTATCTGTGAGACAAAAAATGTTATCTGTGGAGGCAAAGAAAGGAATATATGAAAATATAGTGGTACCAACACTCTTATTTGGGTGTGAAGCTTGGGTTGCAAATGCTGTAGCGAGGAGGTGGCTGGAGGCAGTGGAGATGTCCTGTCTAAGGGCAATGTGTGGTGTAAATATTATGCAGAGAATTCGGAGTGTGGAAATTAGGAGGAGGTGTGGAGTTACGAAAAGTATTAGTCAGAGGGCTGAAAAGGGGTTGTTGAGGTGGTTTGGTCATTTAGAGAGAATGGATCAAAGTAGAATGATTGGAGAGCATATAAATCTGTAGGGGAAGGAAGGCGGAGTAGGGGTCGTCCTCGAAAAGGTTGGAGGGAGGGCGTAAAGGAGGTTTTGTGAGCGAGGGGCTTGGACTTCCAGCAAGCGTGTGTGAGCGTGTTAAGTGTGAATGGAGATGAATGGTTTTTGTGACCTGATGAGCTGTTGGAGTGTGAGCAGGGTAATATTTAGTGGAGGGATTTAGGGAAACCAGTTAGCTGGACTTGAGTCCTGGAAATGGGAAGTACAATGCCTGCACTTTAAAGGAGGAGTTTGAGATATTGACAGTTTGGAGGGACTTCTAAACTGTCATATCTGAGCTCCTCTGCAAAAACAGTGATTATGTGTAAGTGAGATGAAAGTGTTGAATGATGATGAAATATTTTCTTTTTGGGGATTTTCTTTCTTTTTGGGTCACCCTGTCTTGGTGGGAGATGGCCGACTTGTTGAAAAACAAAAACTTTTTTTTTTTTTAACACTTCGGCCGTTTCCCACCAAGGCAGGGTGACCCAAAAAGAAAGAAAAACATAACATGTCATAACATGAATAACATGTCAGGTATTATCTTGCTGTCATTCCTAGGTGGTTCGTGTAGTAACTGACACAATGAGGAACATTCATCCTGTGTATCTGCTTAAGGCTCTCATGATCAAAAGGCACTTGGTACAAGACCCAAATCTTAAGGTAAGAAAGATATATATATATTATTATATATATATATATATATATATATATATATATATATATATTATATATTTTATAATATTATTATTATTTATTTATACCACAGCTGAGGTTTCATGATTTAATCTTAAAGTTTGCTCCTATTAATTTTCTTTTAATAATACATGGGAAGTGGATATAGACCTTTCCTCCGAGCCATGCTGTTGTAAAGCTCTACTAAAAGCGGAACAATGGCTATAACCTTCTGGAAAGATTCTAAAAAGATTAAGAAGAAATTGTCCAAAGTGGGAAGTTGAAGTGGGATTTGTGCAGATGATAAAAAGAATATGTGATGTTATGAATGAGAAAACTGAGTCCTGGTTTAATGAAACAAAGCTAAGGGGGTGGGAGTTCAGTGGAGAGAATAAATGGATTAGGTCAGGGGTTCAATGTTAGAGCTAAAGATGGGTACAATAATGTTGAAGATAAGTATGAGGAAAGAGGGACCTAAATCATATTGCAAGATTATTGGAGTAAGAAAAAGATTGGATTAAGAAGTGTTTAATACCATGTAGCATGTAAAGAAAAATGTAGAGAGAGTGATTTTGGAAATTAGTGAGCGTGCGGTAGTTTTAATCAAGTGTGAGAGTAATGTGTTGGGGATTTCAACCTATAAAGTGGTAAAAATGTTATGAAGAAGTATAGTAAATATTGGGTAGTAAATTAAATAACTTTAATTATTTATTTATTATTTAGAACATTTGGTATAAGTAATACATATTTTATCTTAAAAGAGTAAATTTAAATATAAGTTCTATTACATATGAAGAAGTTAATAGATCTTTCTCCGTAAGCCATGCGGTTTGAAGTAGCTCCAGATGTAGCATGTTGAAAGGGCTAGTAACGCCCTCTTTTGTAAGATACAAAAAGATAAGAAGAAAAGTCAAAGTGGAAAAGCTAATAGTGCGTGGATGTTGCAGTGATAAAAAGGAGATGATTGTGGATGTTATGAATGAGAAGAAGCTGGATGTCTGGCTTTAAAGTGAAACAAAGCTGAAGGGGGTGGGAGAGTTTCAGTGGAAGGAATAAATGGGATTAGGTCGGGGTTTCAAATAGAGTGTAGAGCTAAAGAAGGAGTAGCAATAATGTTGAAGGATAAGCTATGGCAGGAAAAGGGGACTAAAAATGTATTAATTCAAGGATTATGTGGAGTTTAAAATAAAGATTGGATGTGAAAAGAGGGTTATAATAAGCGTGTAGCACCGTGGGAAGAGAAAAGGTAGAGAGAAGAGGAGAGAGTTTGGGAAATGTTGAGTGAATGCGTGGGAGAAAGTTTTGAATCAAGTGTGAGAGTAATGGTGGTGGGGATTTCAACGCTAAAGTGGGTAAAAAATGTTATGGAAGGAGTAGTAGGTAAATTTGGGGTGCCAGGGGTAAATGTAAATGGGGAACCTTTAATTGAGCTATGTGTAGAAAGAAATTTGGTAATAAGTAATACATATTTTATGAAAAAGAGGATAAATAAATATACAAGGTATGATGTAGCATGTAATGAAAGTAGTTTATTAGATTATGTAATGGTGGATAAAAGGTTGATGGGTAGGCTCCAGGATGTACATGTTTATAGAGGGGCAACTGATATATCGGATCATTATTTAGTTGTAGCTACAGTTAGAGTAAGAGGTAGATGGGAAAAGAGGAAGGTGGCAACAACAAGTAAGAGGGAGGTGAAAGTGTATAAACTAAGGGAGGAGGAAGTTCGGGTGAGATATAAGCGACTATTGGCAGAAAGGTGGGCTAGTGCAAAGATGAGTAGTGGGGGATTGAAGAGGGTTGGAATAGTTTTAAAAATGCAGTATTAGAATGTGGGGCAGAAGTTTGTGGTTATAGGAGGGTGGGGGCAGGAGGAAAGAGGAGTGATTGGTGGAATGATGAAGTAAAGGGTGTGATAAAAGAGAAAAAGGTAGCTTATGAGAGGTTTTTACAAAGCAGAAGTGTTATAAGAAGAGCAGAGTATATGGAGAGTAAAAGAAAGGTAAAGAGAGTGGTGAGAGAGTGCAAAAGGAGAGCAGATGATAGAGTGGGAGAGGCACTGTCAAGAAATTTTAATGAAAATAAGAAAAAATTTTGGAGTGAGTTAAACAAGTTAAGAAAGCCTAGGGAAAATATGGATTTGTCAGTTAAAAACAGAGTAGGGGAGTTAGTAGATGGGGAGATGGAGGTATTGGGTAGATGGCGAGAATATTTTGAGGAACTTTTAAATGTTAAGGAAGAAACAGAGGCAGTAATTTCATCCACTGGTCAGGGAGGTATACCATCTTTTAGGAGTGAAGAAGAGCAGAATGTAAGTGTGGGGGAGGTACGTGAGGCATTACGTAAAATGAAAGGGGGTAAAGCAGCTGGAACTGATGGGATCATGACAGAAATGTTTATCCCCCCCTGCTTTTTAGTGTTGGAGTGGTTGGTACTTTTGTTTAATAAATGTATGAAAGAGAGGAAGGTACCTAGGGATTGGCGGAGAGCATGTATAGTCCCTTTATATAAAGGGAAAGGGGACAAAAGAGACTGTAAAAATTATAGAGGAATAAGCTTACTGAGTATACCAGGAAAAGTGTACGGTAGGGTTATAATTGACAGAATTAGAGGTAAGACAGAATGTAGGATTGCGGATGAGCAAGGAGGTTTCAGAGTGGGTAGGGATGTGTAGATCAGGTGTTTACATTGAAGCATATATGTGAACAGTATTTAGATAAAGATAGGGAAGTTTTTATTGCATTTATGGATTTAGAAAAGGCATATGATAGAGTGGATAGAGGAGCAATGTGGCAGATGTTGCAAGTATATGGAATAGGTGGTAAGTTATTAAATGCTGTAAAGAGTTTTTATGAGGATAGTGAGGCTCAGGTTAGGGTGTGTAGAAGAGAGGGAGACTACTTCCCGGTAAAAGTAGGTCTTAGACAGGGATGTGTAATGTCACCATGGTTGTTTAATATATTTATAGATGGGGTTGTAAAGGAAGTAAATGCTAGGGTGTTCGGGAGAGGGGTGGGATTAAATTTTGGGGAATCAAATTCAAAATGAGAATTGACACAGTTACTTTTTGCTGATGATACTGTGCTTATGGGGGATTCTAAAGAAAAATTGCAAAGGTTAGTGGATGAGTTTGGGAATGTGTGTAAAGGTAGAAAGTTGAAAGTGAACATAGAAAAGAGCAAGGTGATGAGGGTGTCAAATGATTTAGATAAAGAAAAAATGGATATCAAATTGGGGAGGAGGAGTATGGAAGAAGTGAATGTTTTCAGATACTTGGGAGTTGACGTGTCGGCGGATGGATTTATGAAGGATGAGGTTAATCATAGAATTGATGAGGGAAAAAAGGTGAGTGGTGCGTTGAGGTATATGTGGAGTCAAAAAACGTTATCTATGGAGGCAAAGAAGGGAATGTATGAAAGTATAGTAGGACCAACACTCTTATATGGGTGTGAAGCTTGGGTGGTAAATGCAGCAGCGAGGAGACGGTTGGAGGCAGTGGAGATGTCCTGTTTAAGGGTAATGTGTGGTGTAAATATTATGCAGAAAATTCGGAGTGTGGAAATTAGGAGAAGGTGTGGAGTTAATAAAAGTATTAGTCAGAGGGCAGAAGAGGGGTTGTTGAGGTGGTTTGGTCATTTAGAGAGAATGGATCAAAGTAGAATGACATGGAAAGCATATAAATCTATAGGGGAAGGAAGGCGGGGTAGGGGTCGTCCTCGAAAGGGTTGGAGAGAGGGGGTAAAGGAGGTTTTGTGGGCAAGGGGCTTGGACTTCCAGCAAGCGTGCGTGAGCGTGTTAGATAGGAGTGAATGGAGACGAATGGTACTTGGGACCTGACGATCTGTTGGAGTGTGAGCAGGGTAATATTTAGTGAAGGGATTCAGGGAAACCGGTTATTTTCATGTAGTCGGACTTGAGTCCTGGAAATGGGAAGTACAATGCCTGCACTTTAAAGGAGGGGTTTGGGATATTGGCAGTTTGGAGGGATATGTTGTGTATCTTTATATGTGTATGCTTCTAAACTGTTGTATTCTGAGCACCTCTGCAAAAACAGTGATAATGTGTGAGTGTGGTGAAAGTGTTGAATGATGATGAAAGTATTTTCTTTTTGGGGATTTTCTTTCTTTTTTGGGTCACCCTGCCTCGGTGGGAGACGGCCGACTTGTTGAAAAAAAAAAAATTTACTTTGAATTATAGAACGATTAAAATTTGCATATCAACCAGTCTGGGTCTTCCTGAGGTTTCTTGAGTGCAAGTACTTTCCATTGGCTCCTAAAAAAAAGGATGGTAAATGTGTATGAGCAGGTAATCACCATAGGTATTTTTGGCAAGTGTGTTAAACATTTGTGCTCTGTGGCCTGGACATTGGACCGGGCCACGGGGTATTGACCCCCGAAACACCCTCCAGATATACCCTGAGCTCTCCTTTTAAAGGGTACTCACCATAGGCACTGTTGGAAGGTTTTTTAAAAATTTGAGTCTAGTGAAAGAATGCTAAAAATGAAACTGAAATATAGCTTGCCCATACTGTATACGGTATAAATAGCAATTAATTATTTTTTTAACACATTGGCCGTTTCCCACTGAGGCAGGGCGACCCAGAAAGAAAGAAAAAACTTTCATTATTCATCACTTTCACCATCACTCATACATAATCACTGTCTTTGCAGAGGCTGTCATATGACAGCTTAGACGTCTCTCCCATTTTATTTACAAAATTAATTTCAGTAAGAATTACATGTCAGCAGCGTGCAATTTCGTCTATTTTCTGTGTAGAATCTGTCTGAAGTGTTGTATAAGTCATTTTTTCCCTTCAACAGCATGAAGATTGGTCGAAGTTTATACCCAAATTTACACCCAAGAATGTACCTAGGAAGAAACCAAAAGTGAGGAAACTGAAGAAACCCTATACTCCGTTTCCACCAGATCCTACAGAAAGGAAAATTGACAAACAAATGGCAGAAGGCAAGTTTTTCATTGAAAAGAGTGAAAGAAAGTGGTCCAAGAAAAGAAAGCCCACAGAAGAAGAGAAGAAAGAGAGTACTGATAGGCAGAGGGAAAAAAGAGCTAAAGCATTTATAGTACCTGAAGAGCCCAAGTACAAGCCCAATGTCCCTGAAGTTAACTCTCAAGTTGATATAAAATCACTCAAAATGAAAGTAAAAAATAGTAAAAAGAAATGAATGGTATTTTTTGTTGTGCATATACTTTATTAATTAATTCTGTGTTGTGGAAATAACTAAGATTGTTCCTCTATGTGATGTTTGAATAAAAGTTTTATACAAGCTAATGGAATATTTTATTCAATGCATATTGCTTAATTTAGAAAGCTGTGTAAACATTTCTAAGTGATGGGACCTGTGTTTTTCTTCATTGAACCGAACCTGAATGCCTCATATTCCCCCAAGTGCTGTATGACCCTAATGGGTTTAGTGCTCTCCTATGAATGTAATTATATAAAACTTATAAAAAAGTTTGTGTATAATACATTTGTTTTTCTTTGGGGCATACAAGTAGGTAGGAAATGACCAATATGTTGGAAAAATAACACATTCCAAGATGGGTGGGATGATGGAGAACCTAAAATATGAGTTATGTGTATGTGCTCAAAAAAGGCACTACCACTGTAACAATAATATAGTAAACCATACCACGGGCGGGTTTGAACCCGCGGTCAGAGAGTCTCAAAACTCCAGACCGTCGCGTTAGCCACTGGACTCTCTGACCGCGGGTTCAGTCCCGCCCGTGGTATGGTTTGTTTGCAATCGTGTCATTATGATTTCGTGAGTCATAGTAATATACAGTGGACCCCCGGATAACGATATTATTTCAATCCAGAAGTCTGTTTGGGTGCCGTTATAGACCGAATTTGTTCCCATAAGAGATATTGTGAATTAGATTAGTCCATTTCAGACCCCCAAAAATACACCTACAAAAGCACTTACAAAAATACACTTACATAATTGGTCGAGTTGGGAGCTGATCGTTATGCGGGGGTCCACTGTAGTACTCATTATTACAGAGGTGATCCCTGTTTGAGCATAAAAAGTGCTCAGACTTTGTGCTCAAATTTTAGGTTCTCCAACCCACCCACCCCTCAAGGGAGGTTCCTTGATGCTGGTGAGGGGCTCTTGATCTAGGGAATTTGATCTGTGCTCTAGTTCCCTGAATTAAGCCTGAATGCCTTCCACATCCTCCCACAGGCACTGTATAATCCTAAGGGTTTAGTGCTTCCCCTTGATTATAATAATAATGAGGGCTTCCTAGTGTAGCCCTAAAATAACTATTATTATTATTATAATGTACCCTAGTGGGTTTAGCACTTGGTTTTGATTATAATTATTATAATGTATGAGAAGTCGAAAATTATCGATAAATGCTGTGAATTTTTTTTTTTTTTTGTTTTAAATAAAATTATTGTAATTATTATTCCCCTCAAGGGAGGTACCTTGATGCTGGTGAGAGGCTCTTGAACTAGGGAATTGGATCAGATTTAGATTTTGCCACCGAAGTGGCTAGTTTATTGTGCACCCCATATCCATCCTGTGGACGGTAGCGCGAGAGCATATGGATACACAAAAGGCCTAGGAACTAGGCCCCAAAGGGTTAACAGGAATACATATGGATTTATATCTACATATCTATAGTTCACTTATCTGTTACAAGCAAATTTAGGAAATTTGCTTAGTATATCTGGTATCTTATTTTCATTAATAAGATATCTTGACATGTCACATAGGTTATTATACTGTCTGTCTCTGTATTCCTCAATAAGTGGACAATTAAGCACATAGTGTTCAAGAGAGTGACCATATGCCTGATCACATAATTTACATTTAGTTTGATCATCATCTGTGTGTCTCCCAAACTGCCAGAAGTACTTGTAACCAAGCCTAAGCCTGGCCACTACAACATCAGTCAGTCTGTTCACATTGCAAGTTGCTCCATAAACATACTTATCTACGTTCATGTTATCATAGTGGGTTATAGATCTACTCAGGCTTCTAACTGCATTCCTATAACAATCATCTTCATTATTTACTTCTCTCCTAATATTATTCCTAATGCTAGACACAGTTATACCAAAGTTATATTCGACATAATCCTTCTCGATACTCTTCTTGGCTAACATATCAACTTTATCATAAAGATAAGATAAGATAAGATTTCGTTCGGATTTTTAACCCCGGAGGGTTAGCCACCCAGGATAACCCAAGAAAGTCAGTGCGTCATCGAGGACTGTCTAACTTATTTCCATTGTGGTCCTTAATCTTGTCCCCCAGGATGCGACCCACACCAGTCGACTAACACCCAGGTACCTATTTGCTGCTAGGTGAACAGGACAACAGGTGTAAGGAAACGTGTCGAAATGTTTCCACCCGCCGGGAATCGAACCCGGGCCCTCCGTGTGTGAAGCGGGAGCTTTAGCCACCAATGTGTGATGGGCTCCATAGCAATTGTACATTAATTCCTTTGTCCCTAATTTTTGAGTATCTATACCTGGCTTCCCCAATGAGCATGTTGTTGGAGTCATTATATGAGTCAAGAGCCTTCAATGATGACATAGAATCAGTAATGATGATAGAGTCAAGCTCAGTGTCATAGGTTAGCTTTAGCGCCATTAGGATTGCAAACAATTCAGTTTGCAGTTGAATCTGAATACCTTCCATCCCCCCCCCCCCCACATGCGCTGTATAATCCTACGGGTTTAGCGCTCCCCCATGATTATAATAATGTAATTATTATTATTTCCTCTTATTCCCCATTTTTCCTCCTCTTTCTTTTCTTGTTTTTTATTCTTCTTATTCTTTTTATTCTTATTCTTATTATTAATAAAGTGTATAGTTGTAGCATGAAAGGTATAGTGAGTATAATACATTCCCTCCAATACTTTTTTCAGTTTAATATCAACAAAAGCACCATCCCAAACGTGTTAATATTTAATTGAACAAAGTAAAGTTGATAAATAGTGTTAATAAAGTGAGTGAAGATCATTATTATAGTGAGTATTATTGAGTGAGGCGGAGCAAGATGGCGTCCGTGGCTGAACCTCTCACCCTCCAACAAGGTAATTCACCCCATTAACTAAGCCAGGTATACACAAATATACTTATATACATTATCATACATAGCAACATATGTGTAGAGAACCCAGGATAACCCAAAAAAGTTAGATAGAGTGACTTATTTCCATTACTGCCTCACTGTCATTATTGCTTCTTGACCCTCCCCCCCCCGAGGGAGGTGTGGACTCCCGGTGGGGGGGAGAGGGATTTTGATCCGGGGAATTGGAGCTGATTTTGGTTTTTAAAGGGGGGAGGGAGATCGTACTTGCTTCCCTCCTTTTTCTTTCCCCCTACGGTTTTAGCGCTTTGTCCCCCTAATGCAGTGACAGGTGGATACTTTTTTATCTGTTTTCATCAGGGCGCTAAGCCCGTAGGGGTTATATAGCATCCCGGTGGGGGGGAGAAGGGGGGAATGGAAAGCAGTAAGGTTCGACCCCCAGGGAAGGTTGGGGGGGAGGACACGTCCAGTTCCTCGGATCAAAAGCCCCTCACCGGCATCAAGGCACCTCCCCTGAGGGGAATAAGATGAACTTCATTCAATTAAAAGCCTTTATAGTTTCATGACTAAGTAAACCCTCTATTTTGCAAGCCTTGATTTAATAGACCTTGATTTAATGGACCTTGATTGAATGGGCTTTAATTTAACACGCCTTGATTTAAGGACCTTAATATAACAGATGATCTTACAGTCGTTGAGTTAACAGACCTTAATTTAATTAATCTTGATTTAATGGGCTACGCAAATAGGAACCCACGAACATCATAATAACTACCCTGATTGGGTACTTAAAACCTTGGAAAGTCAATCTAGGTTTGGGCCCCTAGACTGGGCCTTGAAATGCCAAGTAATATTATAGTTAATTTTTTTTTTAAGGCCTAGGTAGACTTTCAGGAGGCTCGCAGAATTTTTAACATGGGAGAACCTCATCATTCGGAAGTAACTAATCGGAAAACCCCTTCCTTTCTCTATCCAGTTGACGGAGTGTTCTTGACCTACCTAGAGGATAGGCCTAGAACAATGGGAGGGGGGTAAGTGCCCCCCCATGGCCCAGTCCATGGCTAAGGGAGGGTGGTTTGCAAGTGCTCTTTAGTGGTAATAGTGACCGCTTAGACTCGCTTCAAACAGTTGTAAAATAATTACGTAGTTATGGCAAAAGTCGTAAGAGTAAAACGGCCTTAAAATGTAAGTTTATTTAGGTAAAGGTGCACATTAGTACAATTATTGTGAAAATTTGTGTGGACTGCCTCCAAGTGAGTCGCCTACCCTGGCAAACTCTGTTGACACCGAGCTCTGAGGTGGGTACCTCAGCCTCACAAGTGGCTTATAGGACAGATTTTCACAAATGATTGTTGTTGCAAGAAACTCGCCTGCATGCACGTATAAAGGACTAACTTACTTGGTGTTGCAGCATATATCCTGATCTTCAACTTCCCTAAGCTTAGCCTTAGCCCCTTTGGACTTCCCCTCAGAAACCACGTGCAACCGGGAGCCTTAATTCCTGCAATATTCAATCGTTATTAGTGACCTTCCTATAATAATAATAATAATAGTGACCTTCCTGCACCTCAGAAATTCCTATATCCAAGAGGGTGTGTATCCCCTAGTACAACTATGCAGACACGAACACTAGCTTCTACATAGACAAGAGACACTGGTACTTACTGGGCATGCACTGCCTGCTGCACACCGGGCCCACAGATCAACTCATTCACAATCTCCCCAGACACTGGCCAGAAATCTACGAGATAAAGCGGAGGTCTTGTCTTACTGTATGGGCCTGACGGAGGTCATCTACTGTACATCGAGGTGCCTCTACCAGATTTCCCCAGGTCTCGAATGTGAAGACACGTGGGGGGTGCCGTCTGCTGATCATGGCACGTCTTGTCCAGTTGCTGTCAGTCTTAAGAAGAACGAGCTGGTCTCTCTTCCAGACCCTCGTCTCTTCGTTCAAACTAGGGCTGCCAGTTCTCCCTAGCTAACTTATCCTAGTGTTTGCCTACATTATCTGCCTATTACTACCTATGTTAAGGTCTTAGGTCTAATTATTATCTACAGTTGCCTCAATAATCCTAATATTAGTGTACTACCAGTAAAACTACCTACTCCTTCCCTGAAGGGCAAATCTATAAATTAAATAAATGCCTACCATCAATCCACTCGGGGAGAGAAATGTGTTTGTTTGGGAGGGTTTAAGGGTCACCCAGCTCAGCCGTTCCATTACGGCCATGCCAGATCTGTCCTGTGGAACTTTAGGGACCAAATAAATTTCCACAATTATCATACATAGTAACATATATTATTGTAACCACGAACGAGTGGTATTGAATAAATAACAACACTGCGACTAGCTGAGGATTCGAACCCATGCCATATGTCCTTGGATCACAGTAAAACACTTAGCTCTGCTGGGTGTGTGATTCTTGTAGAATTGAGTGGTCCTGTGGGTTAGAGCATCCTGTGTGATTTTCGCTCACCATGGGGTGGGCCAAAACAACATGATTTTGAATCCTCGGCTAATTGCATTGTTGTTATTGATAGTAACATATGTGTAAATTATCTAGGATAACCCCAAAAAGTCAAAGTGATTTATTTCCCTTGGGGTCCTACACCAAACTATAACATGCTAGAAGCACATCAAAATACCTCCATTATAGAGTTTCTTCCCCGACAAAGTTAAGGGCATATGAATGGAAAAGATGGGGGGGGTCTCGAACTGTGGTACCAAGATTAACAGGCCTAGCGTGTTATGTAGGTTTCATCTTGGATGACCAAAAACTGTCAGTGTGACTTAATTTGCAGCCGTAAGGATATTAAATTTTTGCTCAAATTATGACTGGTGACGAAGCTATTACTTAATCTCGAGAAACTTGTGCTTTGCACTATGAATTTTTTTATGTGCATTGTTGCAGTCATGTATTGTGACTTGTTCTTAACCATACCGGTGTAATGGACCTCTATATAACGGACATAGGAGTAAGATACAAAATCCACTGTTTCAGTCTATTCAGACACCACAGGTAAAGTTTGCTGTTTACAGATTTTTACATTATTGTTAGTGTCCTGGCAATGCAATGTCTCCTCTATCTACCAGTGTCTGTCATACAAGACACTGTGGTAGATGTTATTGTAGCGATATTGCGTAAGACTGATACCGATTTTCTTTTCCCAGATGTCAAGAGAGCTGTTGAATTGCTTGATAAGCTTCAGAAGAGTAAGTGTGAATGCTTCCATCAATGCTCCCTTCAAGATGGGGTGTCATAATACAGGGAAGGGCTCTTGATCCAAGGAATTAGAGCTTTCCTTCCCTGCCTTGGCTCAAATCTGATTACCCTCAACCCATTTCTTTTCCCAGGCTAACAGTGCTCTGTAGCTTAAAGAATGCTTCCATGCTTATTATGTAAGTCTTTTTACTAACTGCAATAGAAGGTAGAGTAATAACTTTTTTTATATCCTTAAACTTACAAGTTTTTTATGGAATGTGATGTAATCGATAATGGATGTATTCTGATATCTTCAGTGTACACTTCATTGACATATTGACCTTTCTTTACAACTTATAATTAAAATTTTATGCATGTATAATGATGTATAGTATATGTATAGTTATTCAGATTTAAATGTATTTTATATATGGTATAATGCAAATACCTATGTAGTCTTTGTTGCTTTTGAAGGTACTAAAGTAAAAAGTTTTTCTTTTTTCAGGACCTGTGTTAATTATTTTTAGTAGAAAATTCAGATTTTGTTATTTATGTTTCAAATTGTTTATAAAGGTTTATGAAAAGCTTTTAATACTGAGATATGATATTTCTCAGCTGGGGAAATACCCTCTGCAAAGCTAGCAGCTCTCCAGCGAGTTCTTCAGTCAGAGTTTCTAACTGCAGTGCGGGAAGTGTACGAGCATGTATACGAGACTGTGGACATTTCAGGCTCTCCTGAGATTCGAGCTTCTGCCACAGCAAAAGTAAGATAGCCAAGATGACACGTGCATTTTATTTTATTAAAGTTAAACCAGTACTGTATTGAAATACAAACCAATAGTATAACAGTCTGTATAAGCCCTATAGAAGGAGTTTTAAGAGAATGTATAAAAACTGTACAATTTGTTTTTAGCTCCATTTATTGATTAAAGGCCCAAGAGCATGCAGTGAATGATCTTTTGCATTTCACAATTTTTTTTATTGGGACAGGTTTTAGGACTTTGTTCTTAAGATTAATGATTAATTTTGTACTTATCTTAAAAAGTGACATCCTAAGTCTTCTAGCAGCTGCACAGCAGGGAAGTAATGTTTTTATTTTCTTCATTCCTTAGCTAAAGCTGTGTAAATAGTATGTCACAAGCTGTAATTTTTTCCAGGCCACTGTTGCTGCATTTGCTGCAAGTGAGGGTCATGCTCATCCAAGAGTTGTCGAATTGCCCAAGACTGATGAAGGGCTCGGGTTTAATGTGATGGGTGGCCGGGAGCAAAATTCCCCCATATACATATCTCGCATCATCCCAGGAGGCGTTGCTGACAGGCACGGTGGCCTCAAACGAGGAGATCAGCTCCTGTCTGTGAATGGAGTGGTGAGTTTCTTTAGATATTTAATTTTAGCATAGTTCATTAATCATATAATGAGGGCTTTCTTTGAGAAATGCATGTATGAATTAAAGATAAGCACATAAATCACTTGTGTATATGATAGTGAAATAAATGTCAAAATTAATGTTTTTATCAAATATTTTAATATTTAATGTTGAAGACATTTTCCGTCCTGATCAGTTTTGATATACAGTGGACCCCCGGTTAACGAACTTTTTTCATTCCAGTAGTATGTTCAGGTGCCAGTATTGACCGAATTTTTTCCCATAAGGAATATTGTGAAGTAGATTAGTCCATTTCAGACCCCCAAACATACACGTACAAACGCACTTACATAAATACACTTACATAATTGGTCGCATTTGGAGGTGATCGTTAAGCGGGGGTCCACTGTAATAAAGTATGTAAGATGCTAATAAAGTTTTTCTTCTGTATACAGGAGGGCCCCACTTATACGGCGGGTTAGGTTCCAGGCTACCGCCGTAAAGCGGAAATCGCCGTAAAGTGGAACACCCTTTTATTTTCCTTGTAAATGCATATAAATGCTAGATAACGTATTTACACTGACATATATTAAATTAGCAATAGAACTAAGCATTAAAAAAACAATGAAAAGTAAAATTACACACAGTACATTTATTACATACCTTTATATAATTTTGAAAAAAATATCATAGATAGATTAAGGGAAATGTCTATATTAACATAATATGCGACATTAATGCGCCCAAGAGATTATTATTATTACTATTATTATTACTATTATTACTATTATTATTATTATTATTATTATTATTATTATTATTATTGCATCAAGAGTAGAGAGACTCTTAGTGATTTTAAAGTGTACCTACATGAAAGCAGTGTGTAAGTTTATTTAGGTACAATACATATAAAATATACAATAACTTTAAAACACTTGAAATTTTGGAAAGTTTCCAGACATAATAAGGAGATGTGCTCAGGGAGAATGTAAACAAACTCAGTGGGCCTCTGTGACCGTATTAGAAAGACAGGTGGGGGGAGCCGTATAGCGAGTTTTGGTCATAATTTGAAATGTCCGTATTAGCGGAACGCCGTAAAGCGGGGCCCTCCTGTATATTTAGATGCACTTTATCTGCTCTTAACTTTTCTCTTGCAATGAATCACTAAGCTCATCTCATAAGTTTACCTTGCATCTTTTAACATTCTTGGTAAGTTATAAAATATGTTGCTAACTTCAGTCCTTGATGAATAGCAGATATAACCTATTTAGAAAATAAATTTTTAGTTATATTGAGGGATTTTGTTTCCAATAAAAGTTTAGATTTTCAGGCATCTAGTTTATACATAATAACCCAGTCTAATATACATAATAATATTGTTAAGGAAGCAAGGAAGTCATTGAATAAATGAATATATGACTAAAGGAGAATATGTATACCTACATTTATGTCTTAGTAGAAAATGAGCTCTGGCTTCAGGTCCCTCGATGTAGGTGCCTATTTGAGTCTATAGGTTAAGCTGAAGCTCATGACTTTTTTAACCTTGCACGTGTATGTACTTACGTGGTTCAGCTTTCGTATCTTTTTTGAATCCATAAATGGAATCAGTTGCTACTGCATTTTTCCTACTTTAATTTACTACCTATGCTCTCTTACATTGTAAGAGTGCTTTCTAACATCTCTGTGGCTTATTTTGGTATTTATCTTTAGTCCATGTCCCCTCAACCTGATCTCTCCAAAGTCAAAGAGTCTGACCTTGTCATCCTTGTCTATTCTGATAATAGTAACATGCTCTTCCTATGTTGTGTGATCTATTTTATCAAATTTTTCCTTAATGCTTGACTCTCAGCTCTGGTACCAGTCTTGTGAAACACCTCTGAACTTTCTGTGGTTCATGTGATTAACGATGTGAGTGTTCCACACATTTGAGAATTGGTCTTAAATATGTACGAAGTGCTATCAAAAAGTTCCCAGGTTGCAGTGAAAAAGTATCTAGGCTTACTTAATCACATAGCTGAAGTTGTCTTCCTCAAAGAACCATCCATGGAAAGCTATAACCTCATCCCAGCGCATTTGCTACTTCTCAAAATATTTCTGGAACTCTTCTTTCTTAACAGCATCTAGCATGGCCTGAGATTTTGCTTGAATCTGCTCCACATCATCAAAATACAAGCTCCTTGGGTTTCCTTTTTATATTTGGAAAGAGAAAAAAGTCATGGGGGGAGGGGGGCTAGATCTGGGAAGTGGAGAGGGTTAGGGACATTGTGTTGTTTTTGGCCAGAAAATGCTGGTCAGTAAGTGGGGCACAAATTTCACAGCCACTTGCTTTATGTTCAGATTTATTTTTAGTCAAAATGCTTTGGTACAACCCATAAAAAATTCCAACAGCACTTGCAATGTTCTCTACTCTGAAGACAGTCTTCATGAATAGCCTTCCTCACTGTTTCAGTGTTGGTATCTGTTTTTGACATGAGTGGACAACTAGAGCATTCTTCATCCTTGACTGATATTTGCCGTGCTTTGAATCAAGAAAACCATTAAAAACGCTGTATTCGCCTGTTGCTTTGTCGCCAGAGTTTCCTAGCCATTTTACTGAGCTTAAACAGAATTTCACTTGTACACACGTGCACTTTTCTTACAAGATTTCATTCTGTTACACAAAAAATTGAAACAAAGCATTGGCAATGACAAAAAGTGGCCATCTAACCTCGATAAAATGACCGATCATACTGAAACTCGCCATACTACTTCAGTAATGAGTGTACTGTGCTGCTTGATCTACATCATTGCTGTATTTCATTCCAAAAGCACACTTAAATTTAGTCCTGAAATTTTTTGATAGCACCACGTAGGGTCTAGAGTTCTGTTAGATTCCTTGTTTTAATTTTTTATCACTGCTTTTATATATGCTTCTGTTGCTAATGGCTTTTGGTGCACAGTCTTTGGGAAACTGGTTAGTGTGTATGCCATTACCCAGATTATTTTCTTTTCCTGGCATCTTGATTTACTCACTTCCCAGGTATTATGTTATGGATAGTATTGGTCCTTTGTCTGAGCCTTGGGATTTCCTCTGGTTACATTTGCCCAGCCTTACAATTTCCTCTCTTACAATGACTCTTCATGTATTTTTTAATCCATGCATACATCTGTTTCACTATCCTGTATCTCCAGTTCGTGTATTAATCTCCTTTGGGACACTGTGCACTTTCTACCTTTCTCTTTCTCTGCTCAAGCAGAAACCCATACTGGTGTTCTGTGATGAAGTCTATACTCAAGGTGATTCACTATTATTTTTCTTGTGTTCATTATCACCTTGTATGGAGCACTAGTCAAGAGATGCTGGTCTAGTTTAGGGCCTTTTATCATTCACTTTTCTTAATATTTGTACATACATATTTCATTTGGTAGATTCCAGCTGTCTTTAGTGTTTCCTTCAAAATCTGGACAAGTGGTTTGCTCAGAATTTTAGTCACTTCTTTCAGTATTTAGGGTAGTATCATACCCCATTACTTTTGATGTGAACAACTTGCTCAGGAATCTTTTTATTTAATGTTTGTAATTCTTATGTAAATCGTCATTTCTTTACTTAATTGATGCTAGGTCTTGCTTGGTTGTAAAACACTTTAAATATTTGGAGTTCTTTGCACACTTTCTTGTAATTTTTTGCATCCGTACATGATATTTTACTGCCATTTTATATTTAATGTGGCTGTTTAGTAGTACTGTACCAGTTCCATCTTTGCTTTGGCTATTTTGTTTCTATTTTTAATTTGCCTATCTGTTAGTCATTTCTATTGCTCCTTATTTCTTAGTTTTTGGCTGTGCCCTGGACTTTCTATGTTTTCTTATTTCTAAGTTTCATATCTCTGCACTGGTGATTAAATCTTTTACTTGCTTTATCTTATTTGCATCTGTTTGGCCAAAGATAAATCTATCTCTGCCCAACACTTTATTGGTGTATCAGTTTGTTATTTCTTCTTAGGATTGCCAAAGAGTTCATCATCATCGGGTATGCTTGCTAGGAACCTTATCATACTTTTTTGGTCTATTTTCCTTTATGTTAGTCTTCTGGTTCTATTTTTTCTTTTTGTTTCAGTCCTACTTTATACTGGTGGTGTTTGTTAGAAAATAAATCATTCATTCATCATAGCCTCTTCTAAATACAGTCTACCCTGCAAAATGAAGTCTGTATAACAAATTTTGTTTCAGATTTGTATTCATTTTGTGTTTCAAACACCATATTTCATGTAACACTGAACTGGTTAATATTGACAGTTATGAGAAATAATGACCAAAATAAATATTGAGCATGAGAAAGCCATTGAGCCAGTAAAAAAATTGGATATTTTAATTATTTGTTTGATGTCATTCAGCAAAAGATGGATAATCAAAATCTGCAAATACCAAATCCTGCAAATTTATAGGGACAGCTCTGAAGTACATTATTTATCCAAGATTTTCTATTTTTTTTTTTAAGTAATTTCTACCCAATAATTTAATGTAATCACAGTGAACACTTACACCACATCTCCAATTCATTGTCTTTTTAATGTTGGTTTGTTGGTATGTTGCATCATGAAGTTTTGCCTTACCGAGTCAAGCAAGCTTCTGTTCTACATCTCTGGGTCACTGTAGGCTCCCATTTCTCCATGTCTGTCTCTCTAGTTTGAACTTTTATTACATCCTCACTTTAGCTCAGACTCTGCTGCTGCCTTGAAAATTTTCCCTGATTTTTATGGTCTGGGTCATTCATTGTTTGGTTGTGAATTCTAGATTAAAATCAAGAAGACTCTGAAGCCTTCAGTGATTATTGTTCTTATTATGTAATCTTAAATTACTAAAGTCTGTGAGTGTCACTTCTTTGAATTTCCAAGTGTGTGTGTTGGGTGATTGGTTGAGTGTAAGTCAATTTGCTTGTACATTTTTGTATTTATGTATTATATATATTTAGCTAGTCATATGCTTGTTATTTTTTTAAACATTATGTACAAAGGCATGAGGTACAGCAATTTACATTCTTGTAGTACGTACATTAAGCTGCTTAAAAATAGTAGTGGTATGCTTGAGCAATCTTGTGACTCCAAGATTGCCCATCTCTCTTGCTCTTAACAGAGACAGAACCAAGTCTCTGCCACTCCTTGCACTGGATAACCTAGGAGTTAAGTGCTTCATAAAGAAAAAAAAATAAAAACTACCATATCCCTCTTGCAACATGTTCTGTTTCCACCACATTGTCCTCTCCTTACCATTTTCTGGTTCTCCCTGCTGTTGTCTCACATCTGTAAGCTAATTAAAGTCTTAATTTCCAGACTTGTTTCTTAGTGTAGGCAAGTGGCAGCTGCTGCACTTGTAAAATTGTCAAATCAGCATGTGAAATTCTTCGACAAATATTTCAGGTGTTCCTTCAAGACAGTTTTTTTTTTTTTAAACACTTGAAGAAATTTTAAATATCTGGGGAAGATCCTGCATATGGCCACCCCCAGAAAGATGGGGTATTTAAAAAGTGAAGAAGGCTTCACAGATAGAAAAAAATATTTTTATAAAGACAACAAAAAAAGGTCATATCTTGTTCATAAATGAAAAAATGTGTACACTATTAATTAAGGGAAGAATAGTTTCACAGTGGTACAGAATTGTTTGCAATTTTTTTTTATATATTTAGTTGGTAATACTATAATTGGTAAAACTGGCAGAGTGTTGAGGGTGAGAACCATGAGCGTGCCGTGGAGTTGCTGAAAGCTGCCAGTGGCTCCGTTAAACTGGTGGTCCGCTACACCCCCCGAGTCTTGGAGGAGATGGAGATGCGCTTCGACAAACAGCGGGCGTCACGTAGGCGAACTTCCCAGTTACAGTAGAGAACCCCCTAGTGAAGGACTGGCGTGGGCTGATGTCACTCCGTGCGAGAGATGGGGCACAGGCAGAGAGCCAGCCAGGTTGAGAGTTGTCAGTTGTAGAAGAGTAGCCAGAACTCACTGTTTAGATTGGTAGCATTGTCATACCATGGCTTAAAATTAGAATGGTGTTTAGGTCTGCTGCTGTTGTTGTATTTACAGTAGAGCATCATTCATTAATAATGCAGTTTAATAATTATAGGAAATCTTGCTTGTATAGATTCTTGATTCCACCAGTAAAGCCAGTTTCACATATTTCAGGAAATGGTTCCACAACAGCTCTTGGTATATACAGTTATTTCATGTAAGCTTTGCCTTGTAAGTCATTTCATAAATTACATGTGAATATTCATTAGTGTACATTTAAAAACTAGACAGTGAATAAATTACTATTTTAGATCTATTTAGATTATTACCAAGGTATATTTCAGTTTTATTTGTGGAATGTAAACTTCTTGATGCTCAACTGTACTTGTGCCTATTTTAACTACCCTAGAAGTTTGCTCAATACATGTTTTAAATATTTCATTGCTTTCAATATATATTTTCTTTGAATTAGCCCACCTATAAGATGAACCATTTTGCATATTCAGTCTAATGAAACATTAACACAGTTACCAGATGAGCTCACCATTCTCACTCACCCTCTCTGTCGTCTGCATCATCCACCTGAGCACCACTGTATGGCTACTGCACCAAGTGCACTCCACTATATCTTGACTGACATGTCATTCACAATTTTCGTGCGATAATAAATGAGGGAGATAACATATTGGCCTCAGGTTGCGATGATGTAGTGCACATTTGCTCTGCACAGCCCGGATTTTACTCCCACTTCCTGTAGACCTACATGTTCAGAATGTGTAATAAATTATTTAATTGATTTTGGGACAGTGAAAGAGTTGTTTATTGTATTTAGGTCTTCCATTTAGAAAGAATAGTTAATTTTTTTACGGATTCAAGAGTTTTGTGTATTAGTATAATTATTTAGGTTTGCAGTTATATATATTGCACTGATTTATTATGGGTCCACCAAATGCTTGATCTACCCCATTTCTTATGAAAAAGGAATATATATAGACAACATATTCTATGCACCTTTTGCCAATTGTTGTCTGAACAGCAAACAACACTGGTAGCACTCTTTTATCATGATAAATAACTTGTTTCAAACATAGGACTTACAACACACCACATTATAATTCTCTTACTACAATTCTACTTCATGATGACTTTTCTTACAGGAAACAATACTAAATTTTTGTAGCTTTTGGAGATATAATTAGAGAATATTTTTTTTCACAATTTGTATCTAGGCCACAGACTATTTTTTATTAATGGGTGTATACTCTGCCAAAAGTGTTTTGTGTTGGAGTGACAGACTGCTGATAAATGGGTTATATTAAGAACCTGGCAATAAGAGCCAAGTTTTTCTCAAATGTTAGTTTTATTAAGTCTATGATAAAGTTCACTATTGAGCAAAGTTCCCTTTAAAGCTTTACTTTGCTTAATAGTTTTGTTTTACCCCAGTCATGCACATAATTTTTTTTCTCTACCTTTAAAAGATCATCTTGAATCCAAGTAAACTACCGTCACTATGAATCCTTGATATATATACATTGTTTTTAAGCTTCTTAGTATCCCATTGCTCATTAGATAAAAATCCTCAGGCCGGAAGTCAGTACAATTTTTCATTTGTTTTTGTCTTGTCATGGTGCTTTTCTAGTGAAGTAGTCTAATGCACTAGATCACTTTAGACATATTTAAGAAGGTGACACCTGAAAGAGCTATTGGCGTGGTGTGGTTGATGAGTGCACTGCTTGGTTCTTTAGGTTAAAGCCAGTTTTGTATGGACAGTAACTTGATAGATGACCTTTTGAAAATAGTCCTGCTCTAATATTGGAGACTTTAATATGGAGGCTGATAAGCCATACACAAACATAAGATATTAAAAATATAGGATCTGCATTTTCCCATTCTGTCCTTACTTGGCAGGCTCTACTTCCTTCCAACACTTTCCATTCATGTATTTTTTCAAATTTACCTTTAATGCGACCCAAAGTATCTACTTAAGTGACACTACTTGGTAGTTTGTTCCACACTGTTTATTCATATAAGAGGTTTTAATCATCACAGATAGTGTTAGTTAAAAACTATTGGTTGGATGTCTGTGAATGACGTAGGCTATGCAGACACATGAAGCTCCCCGACCTGGCTTTGTCATACCTGTCAGATATAGTGGTACCGCGAGTTTCGAACATCTCCCAACTCGAACAATTATGTAAGTGTATTTTTGTAAGTACTTTTGTAAGTACTTTTGTAAGTGTATTTTTGGGAGTGTGAAACAGACTAATCTAATTTACATTATTCCTTATGGTAACAAATTCGTTTGGTATCGGCACTAAAACAGCCTTCTTGACCGAATTAAGTTCGTAACTCGAGGTACCACTGTATACTTATGTATTTAGTTGTGCAGTCTTTTTTATACTATCGCATAGAGCTACATTATTATTTTTTTGCTGGTTTGCTTAAGAATGTGATCAATATATCACTGGAGCAGGGCCAGGAGCTTGGACTCGACCCCTGCAACCTCAACTAGGTGAGTACAACTAGGTGAGTACGTACACACACACACACACACAAGGGGTCACAGTTGGAAGCTGAAGACTCAGATGAGTCACAGGGATGTTAGAAGTACTTCTTCAGTCACAGAGTTGTCCACACACACGACACACACACACCACACACACACACACACACAACACACACACACACCACACACACACACACACACACACACACACACACACACACACGACACACACACACGACACACACACACGACACACACACACGACACACACACACGACACACACACGAACACACACACACACACACACACACACGACACACACACACACACACACACACACACACACACACACACACACACGACACACCACACACGACACACACAACACACACACACACACACGACACACACAACGACACACACACGACACACCACACAACACACACACACACACACACACACACACCACACAACAACACACACACACACACGACACACACCACACACACGACACACACACACACGACACACACACACGACACACACACACACACACACACACACACACCACACACACACACACCACACACACACACACAACACACACACACAACACACAACACGACACACACACGACACACACACACACACACACACGACACACACACACGACACACACACACACACGACACACACACACACACGACACACACACACACACACACACACGACACACACACACACACACACACACACGACACACACACACACACACGACACACACACACACGACGCACACACACGACAGTGTCTGTATATGTGTGTGTGTCCGTTCCGTTCACCTCATTCGTACGATTTGTGACATCACGTTCCGCTTGGCCATAATTGGCTGCAGCTGATCACGCCACATGGCTTGGCCTTGATATCTGTGCTGCAGGGAATTTGGTGCGCTCGGTAGTCGACTTGTGACTATCATGATTGTATGTCATTTGTGATTTCCTGCCTAATCTTTCGTTCTCTTCATACTGTGTCGAGCAAAAAAAGAAAATGGTCAGACGAATACGTACAATATGAATTCACATGTGTAACAGAATGTGATGGGAATCAGCATCTTCAGTGCATGATTTGCAATGCCAAGTTAGGCAATTCTAGTCTAGCACTGGCAAAACTATGGGAGCACTTCCTAAAACTGCATGGGGACATGGGGATGGGAAATACAAGAAAACAACGCACACTGAATTGAAGGTGAAGAGAGCCAGATTTGACAAAAAGGCTGCTCTGCCTATTCTTGGCTTTGTACCCATCGATAAACCGATCCTCACAGACTTCGCTGTAAAAATGATCTTCATGAATATATTCTGTGCTCTCACTGTTCACAGTCCATGCCACAGCCACAATTTCCTGGACTGGACTACTTTTTCAGGGAAACCACAAACGTTTTTTGCCACAGGCCATAAATTATCCCAGCTTGCATTTATACTTGACTGGGGGCACATCATCTCATGATACCTATACATGTGTAAGCGCAACTGCAATGTTAGATTTACGTCAGAATTGTGGCACATTGGTCTTGCAGCTATCATCTATTGCTGCAATTTTTTTCATTCCTTTGCATGTGTAGTGACACTTGAATGTCTTTAATAATCCCTAGATCCAGTGGCCTATCAGTTATATGTCAGGTGGTAAAAAATAATCTTCATTTTTAGGCTCAAAAACTGCAAAATTGGAAGATCTTTCTTTCTTTCAACACACCGGCCGTATCCCACCGAGGCGGGGTGGCCCAAAAGGAAAAACAAAAGTTTCTCCTTTTACATTTAGTAATATATACAGCAGAAGGGGTTACTAGCCCCTTGCTCCCGGCATTTTAGTCGCCTCTTACAACACGCATGGCTTACGGAGGAAGAATTCTGTTCCACTTCCCCATGGAGATAAGAAGAAATAAACAAGAACAAGAACTAGAAACAAAATAGAAGAAAACCCAGAGGGATGTGTATATATATGCTTGTACATGTATGTGTAGTGTGACCTAAGTGTAAGTAGAAGTAGCAAGACGTACCTGAAATCTTGCATGTTCATGAGACAGAAAAATGGACACCAGCAATCCTACCATCATGTAAAACAATTACAGGCTTTCGTTTTACACTCACTTGGCAGGACGGTAGTACCTCCCTGGGTGGTTGCTGTCTACCAACCTACTACCTAGGAAAATTGGAAGATGACTACAGAAATTACCAAGACTGAAGAGAATCTTGAATGCAAGGGTCAATTTTGGCCAGGTATATCTTTACTGGAGGGATAAAATAATGGCCTTAATCATCCATGAAGCCCTATTAGACTGTCAAATAACAGGCAAACAGGTTTTATGCTTACCTATTAAAACAGGTACATTTTTGCACTTGAAATCACCTGTTGCTTTTGCACAAAGAAGCAAGCTGAAGCAATCCTAGCTGCCTTGAAACTCGTATGCAAATATTTTGTTGTTGTTAATGTGAGGTGGGTATTGAGAACTTTTAAAACAAGGGAAATAATGCCGATGGTGACACTCTTCAAATCGCCAGTGCTCCCTCACTTAGAATATTGCTCAGTGCTGACGGCCCCGTTCAAAGCATGAGAAATATCGGAGCTGGAACAAATATGAAGATCGTTTACGGCTCACATTGAGCCGGTAAAGCACTTAAACTACTGGGAACGCCTGCAAATCTTGAACATGTATTCATTGGAGCAGAGGAGAGAGACATATATGATAATGTATACCTGGAAAATACTCGAGGGCCTGGTCCCAAATCTGCACACTGCCAAAACAACATACTTGAGTGAGAGATTTGGAAGGAAGTGTAAAATAAACCCAGTGAGGAGCAGGGGTGTGGTGGGGACAATAAGGGAACACTGTATCAACATTCAGGGTCCCAGACTATTCAACATCTTGCCGGATGATATCAGAAACACAGCTGGAGCAAGTGTAGAATCTTTCAAGAGGAAACTGGACAAGTATCTTCACCAGATGCCAGATCAACCAGGATGTGATGGATATGTGGGGCAGTGGGCCTCCAGCAGCAACAGCCTGGTTGACCAGGCAAGCACCAGACGAGCCTGGCCCATGGCTGGGCTCAGAGAGTAGAGAAGCTCTCGAAACTCTTTAAAGGTATAAGGAAGCACCTAATTCAACATAGTCCTGTCTTGTCAGTGCTAAACACTAGTTTGGGGTTGTTAGTATTTTCAGAAATAATTTCCACAAAATCTGAAGGGTAACTTTCCATGGCTATGTGATCAGCTGACTTACTATCCCCAGTAAATTTTATGAAATGAAGCTGATAGTGTTTTTTAAGTTTTCAAACCATCTTGCCCTTAACATACACTGTTGTGAAGGCTCTCTTTCCTCACAGTTTTATAGTAGTATAGGTTTTTATACCTTATTATCTGAACTCTAAGCAGGGCATCTTTTTCTCCTTAATCCATACATTCAATAACTTTTCTGTCATATTTAGCTGTATTGACCACTTTGACATTTCTCTTCAGCAGATCATGTCTGTACTACTAATTGCACAAACTCATATTTTTTTCTCAGTCTCTAATTGTGCAAAGAATTTATTCTCTCACGTTGCACCAAAATTGTGTTACGTAAAGTTGTGCTTAAGAAGGTTTACAGTATTTATTTCCTTATTTTATATGCGTTAAAAATGCCTGTTACACCTACTTCTGAGGAACGATGTTTAAATACTTCCCTTGTGAGGTATACCTCAGGAGATAATGTCCATTACAGTCACATGTAATATAAGGTATAGGGGAACTATGATGAAATTAATACTTAGTCCACTTACTCAGTTGAGATTCTTCACATGGGCATCAGTAATCGCAATACTACGTACACTCCCTCCAGCCTGGCTGTTGATAAACTAGCCACGTGTGCATCACTTGGGTAACTTTATTGTAGAAACCTTTCACACAGTAGCTTCATTGAAACGTTTCCAAAAATAAAGATACCAATTGTTTCACATGTGTCTAATTTATCAATTTGTTGGTTTTTTTTTGAACCATTTATCTACAGCCTGATTGTTGTTTTGAGGGATTCCTTACTATGAACTCATTGTGAGTGTAATGTAATTTGCAGCATTTAATTTGAGTTATAACTACAAATCTCTGTGTGGCTAACACTCAAAGGTTTACCTGTCCCATCGTGCATGTCAAGGTCAAAGTCATAACATGCTATTGCATGATATTTTTCCTTGTCCCAAGCATTCATTAATGTCAGTCCTATCCTACCAATTGAAATTTTGCAGTTCCCTGCATGCACAATGTGTGATAAGTTATCCTGCATAAGGAAATCCAGATTTAAATACTGCAGTGTCTGTCAGTGTGCTTACTCTTTCAAGCTTTCGTCTAATTACTCTCCTAAGGGACTGTGTTTAAAAAGGAGCACTCACGTTTTCTGAATTCTTAATGTGACTATCGAGATTAGAAATGTGAGTGGTGAATTAAGTAAATCCAGGCATGAGAGATTAGTTTCCCAGATGCTTTTGGCATCTGGTTTAGTTTCACATGATTACTCCCTCGATATTTCTGGGTTGTTTGTTATGATTTCCATTGGAATGATCAAAACAGTACAATGAGACCATAGTTAAAAAAAGCTGAAATGTGTTTATTGATAGGTGTTTTCCATTGTGTCAGTGCAGTGATATTAGAGTAATACGAGTGGAAGCATTACTTAGGTGGCACGCTGAGAGCGGGGGGAGATGTTGGTCACTTAGTGCTGGCATATTTTTTTTTTTTTTAATTGGGTCTGACTAAATATGATTTATTAACAGTTTTTTGGTTATTGTGGTTGGGCACTGATACATAATGGACTTAATAAGAAGAAAAAGAGAATCCATGGTAGTCGGAACAATCAAGAACAGCACATGTTACCTAATTGGAAAAAGAGAGGTTCAAGATCAGAAGTATAGATTACAGTTCAAACAAAATAGCTTTAGACACTATGCCAGACATTGATCAAATCTTTGGTGGGATTTATGGGGAAAAAGAAAGAAGCTATAAAAACAATGAACAGAATGAAATTTGAATAATGAGAGAAAAAATGAATGACCTCTTCTCAGAGTAACATGGACAGGATTCACATGGGCAGTAAAGTCTCAGAATAGGTAGAAAAGTGTAAATATTTTGAAGTGGTTTTTGCAAACATGGACATTGGAATTTAGAGGAGTGCAAAGGAGAAAGATGACTGAACCTCTTAGAAGGATTATGAAAATGGAAAATACTGCTTTAAGTATGAAGAAAGGATTGTGTGGCAGTGTTATTCTTAAAGAACGCTGTTAATAAGCTGCTCAAGATGTTTGTGTCCATAATGAATAGGGTTGGACATGAAAGGGAAGTACAGTACTGCACATGGAAAGTGTAAGGTAATAAGAGAAAGTAAAAGAAATAAGGTGTAATTCAGAGAATTGATATGCCATGTAGATGTCCCTAGATGGTTGGGTATCATTAGATAAAGAAAACTACCTTGGACATATACAATGTTAAAGTTATGTGTAAATGGGAAAATCTGCTAAAATGTGTTAGGGTAATCATCAATGAAAGTTTGACAAGTTAATCCATTATGCATAAGGAAAGGCATGTAGGATAAACAGGAAGATGGAAGTGGTCTTACCCACTGCACTTACTTTGTCATTTTTTAAATTAAGTTTTTTGCTATTGGAATTCAGTGAGATGTGATTTACAAACACTGCTCATCTGTATCATGTCAGATTAGCTGCAGTTAACCCTTTCACCGTCTCCATTTAGATCTGTGTTTTTGAGGCCAGCACTAGATTTATGTCTTAATCACAGCACTCTCAAATTTTATGTGATTGGTAAATTTTGGCCTAGACACAGAGCATGATAGGAACAGCTAGCCTCTGACCTTGTCTTTATGTTAAAATAGTAAATTTAAGGCATTTTCCTGTGTGGGTTTCATGGTTTTATTGGCTGTTTCTTAGGGCCAATTGATAGATCAGAACACATACTAGTGAAATGAAGAAGATTTTGTTTGGTTGAGTTCAGACCAGAAGAGGCCTTAAATAAACCTCAGATTGACAGGAATATTAGATTTTTTGGCAATTTTTCTTGAGGAAGGGTAGGAACCATCCAACTCCCCGAGTCTGTTTTATGGGTTTTTACTAGGTCTTCCTCAATTATTTGGACCAAACATTCTTGGATAGACAAGAAATAGGGAAAATTTTGATATTTTTATGTGATGATTGATTGAAAATGGAAAGCATGTGTCATGTGGGGCAACAGGCCTCCAGCAGCAACAGCCTGGTTGACCAGGCAAGTACCAGACAAGACTGGCCCATGGCCGGGCTCTGAGAATAGTAAGACTCTGGAAACTCATCAAAGGTAGTAGAGGCCTGAAGATGTGATTAATGAACAGAGGAAAGGGATCTTTAGTTTTTGGAATGCCTACATTGTTTATTTTGTACTCTTGTTTTTAAATTGAATTTTGTTGAATTTAGTGTAAAATTAATTAAATTACCAACTTATAAAACAGTTCTGAAAGTTGAATGGGTAGTCTCTTGATCTCACTCAATAGAATGGAAGGCATACTAGCAAAATATTCAGGAATTTGGTTAATTTGGGCAATGGAATTGGCCTAAAATAGACCTCAGTGGGCAAAATCACTGATGAGTAAATTGTGCCCAGACTGCCTATTTCTCTTCTGAATAACTCCGTGAGTTTTCCATCAACTTTCACATTTTTGGTGGTGTTACCTTCAGAAAAAAATTCTCTGCCAGGTTAAGAAGATCAAGTTATATTTTGTTTCTAAATTGTGACATTGACAACACTTAGGGGTTGCGACAGTGAAAGAGTTAGGCATTGCACTGAATGATATACTAATACTGATTATTTAGCAGTTATGTTATTGGATTGTCTTAGATATAAAGTACAATATTCAGAGAGTTTATTATTTACATGGTGATTTAAATGCAACTTAGTAATGAAATAGGCTCATGTCTCAACATCACGAGTCAGACTCTCCTCTTTAGGCATGCATACATGTATATTTGCTTTTAAAAGTGCATACATAGACATATTAATATGGTATGTTTTGCTTTTGCTTGTGATATACCTCTGTTGTAAAGTGTATATCATGGCTTCTTAACAAAATAATGATAAAGAATTTATTTGTGATATTCAACACACAATAACAATGGGTATATAACTAACAGAATTTTAGGACAGTTTTTTTTTTCTTGGTGTCTTGGTTTGCAGCTTCTCCCCAAATAACTTTTGAAGGTAATCTTTATTAGTTTTTAATTGGTTTCGCTATAAATTGTCAATTTATTTACATGAATTTTCTTTCTTCCCAAATAGGGTTCACACACAATTATTCATTTCCAAACTACAGTGCATGATGTGATAAATAATTATATGCCTTTTATTTCCTTGCAGGTGGAGGACAGTGGAACTGAGCACTATATTTCAGAGTACAGCCCAGTAGAACAAGTTTCACTTGGAGACCAAAAATTGACAGACACTTCCATTTTGAGATAGTGTCAATACCTTGAATATTTACAGCCTTGTTAAGAGGGTTTCTCTGCTTCAGCACCGGCTTCACCTCATCAAATGTTAAAATAAGTTTCTGTCCCTTTCATATAGCAAGATATTCCTGTGTTTTTGTAACAATTTGATGTTAGCTCCCAATTTAGGATTTTCCTGTAGTGTTTACCATTTGTCATTTAATGAAGTTTGAAGTTTTGATTCTGGAGAATCTCTGTATTTTATAATCATTGCGATTACAGTTTCAGACAGCTTTAATGGTATATGAAATAGTCTGATTTGTAAATATTCAGAACATTTTTGAATTAACAAGTTGCAATTGAGCATTTACTGAGAATACCGTCATTAAAATAATAATGTGTTCATGTAAGCCTAAATTTGTTTTATGAAACTTTGTATATTGTGTGTAGTGATTTCACTGACATGTGAAATTGATTTCATTATAAAAAATTTGCCTTTAATATAAAGAATTCTTTTGTTTGATTCTCATTTTGCTCAGTTGAATGGCACTTGTGGTAAGGCAAGGAAGAAGCTCAGGTAAATCACAGCTTACTGAGTTGATTTGATTTTTGTGATTGTGCAGTATTAGATTTCTCCTGCTCTCTTTCCTCATCCCCATTTCTTTCCTCACCCCTTTCTTTCCCCCATTTTTTCCCTAACCTTTTTCTTTCCTCTGCCCTTCTGCAAATTTACCATACCCTACTTCTCTTACTCTAATGACAGAATATTTTCAGACTAACTGAGAAGAATTGGACCAATATAATATTGTTTTGAAAGAAAGAATTTGCTTGCTAATTCACAGCATTTCTACATTTTTAATGTTTTGTGAATATTTCTAATTTAAATATTGGAAGCCCTTCTTAACCTAAGATTTACCCTTATTTGTGATATTTATACACTAAATTACTGTATATTGAATTTTATTTATTTAATATAATTATAAAGTTAAGGCAGCTATCTGTACTTTTAAAAACGATCAGTGTCAGATCTTAGCATGTGATAATTCCTTGGCCTTTCACTCTGGAGTCATAGAACTCCACGCCATGTTACAATTACCTAAATTATATATTTTATTTCCTGTGTGCTGTAGGGCAATGATTTTTAAGGAGTGTGAATAGTAATGATACAATCAGAACTAAGCACTAAACCCACAAGGGGAGGAGTGTGACTGTCATAATTGAAACCATACCGTGGTTTGCAGTCATGTCGCTACGATTTCGTGAATCAGTTATATTTTTTAATTTTTGCGTTTCCACAGATCTGATTTTTCCAAGGATCCTCTTGATGTCTTTGTGGATGCCTGGGGGTTTGTGAACCAGTGCTAGAGGTTATTTGTGTGAAGAACTTTTAGGGGATTTATTAGTAATTATGTTTGGCTCTTTGCAGTGTTTAATACTCTTCCAGTCCTGTGCTTAAATGTCCCTATGTTGTAGTAAATCATCTTCTGCTAGGTTTAATAAATACTACAGTACATTTATAATATTCAGTTTTTAACTTGTGTAACTAATGTCTTACATGGCAGGTTCAGCTTAACCCTTAAACTGTCCAAACGTAGATCTACGTTCACATGCGTAGCGCTCCGATCTTGATTTTCCCCATTTGAAAGCATGTAAAAAAAAAATAGATCTGCGTTCGGAGCCCCCTGCATGTGGACATAGATCTACGTTTGGACAGTTTAAGGGTTAAGGAAAGGGACTGCATCTAGAGATGTTTTCATGGCCAAACTATATCTGTAGACAAACCAGAATTTCACATTTAAGTAAAGATAAATGATTACGTATGAGTGAGGTGAAAGCTTTGAATGATGATGAAAGTACAGTATTTTCGTTTTGGGGATTTTTTTCTTTTTGTGTCACCCTGCCTCGGTGGGAGATGCCCAACTTGTTGAAAAAAAAAAAATGGACATTGGAAAACTCATGATCTGGTGATCATTACATTGATTATTAGAAGACTGTTTTTTGTTTCATGTGTTTTAAGCTATTTTCATAAATCAAAATAGTCTAAGATGCTTTCTATTAGTTAGCATTTCAAAATCAGTTCAAAGTTTGATTTATAGTCTTGTACATCAACTTTGTATGAAACTTTTAAATGTTTTAGAAGTTAATTACCAGAAGAATGCAAATCGAAATCATATGTAATATAGCAACACTAGAGCCAGAATTATGTAAGAGTATGTACCATTTCAAGCTTGCCTAACTATTCTTGTTTTTTGCCTAATAATTTTTGGGGCAGAAAGTATCTGTTGCCATTAGATTGTATTTTAAAAGAACGCTACAGTATCTCCTATATCATTGTTTAACAAGTTTACATTATTTCCAAAATTAATTGGATAATGTTTCCTACACACTGCTAATTTTACACTATATTAATGACAGTATGTGTCAAGCAAAATGAGGTGCTTGGATTGGAAATACAGTGGACCCCCGCCTTACGATCAGCTCCCAACTCGACCAGTTATGTAAGTGTATTTTTGTAAGTGCTTTTGTATGTGTATTTTTGGGGGTCTGAAACGGACTAATCTAATTCACAATATTCCTTATGGGAACAAATTCGGTCTATAACGGCACCCAAACAGACCTCTGGAATGAAATAATATCGTAAGGCGGGGGTCCACTGTATTTACAAAAGCATTGACAGCAAGACCTCTCAAATGCATTTATTATCCACCTTTAGTTCAGATGTTACTTAGATTGAATTTGCCAGGCACTCACAGGTTATAGTCTTTCAGTAAGTATTAATCCTTTTTTTTTTTTTTTTTTTTCATGCAATAGGGTTTCACATTTATTATGAAGATAAAAAGGCAATCCGTGGAAAGTTCTTTTACACGTCTTATTGTATTCTTGTTCAGATTTATATGTAATCTCAGACTCTTCATTCCTACATGGCCAATATTCTATAGCTAATTATATATTTTTTTCCAGTGTTAGCAGTTTACTGCATTTCTGAGTTTGAGAACTCTACTTTTGTCTTGAGTTTGTCTTTCTGTGCTATTTAGAAACAATAGTTTTCATTTCCTCGAACTTATGATAGTGCTCAGTCAGTAAAATATATATGCACACCCACTATGACTTGACCTGTATCTCACACTAATGTATGGGAATTCCATTTTCATCACATTTTATCTCTGTTTATAATTTGCAGCTGTTGTCTGTATAATATAAAGTGCTGAATACTTAAGATACCAGTTGGTTTTATTGGTTCTGTCTGATTTATTGTTGAATACCTATGGACTGCAGTTTCGGCATTTATAACTTACTAAAAAATTCCATCAATTTGGTAGTTTGTATTTTTGTCAGTGGCAGAGTGAAAAAATGTCGCCTCACTTGCAGTCCTCATATGATTTGGACAAATTGTATAATCTGTCCTTTGTAGCTTTCACATTCTTTGTCATTAAGTAATATTCACTCTGTCCTATCTATCAGAGCATCAGAATTCACTTTCAGCATCTTTAACGCAGACTAAAAATCCTTCTTGCCGAAAGTCCTGCCTTTGATGTAGATTCCACCCTTATTAAAAGACTTGCCTAAGTGATAATTTCTTATCTTTACTAGGCTGAATTTCAGTAACCCCAACTTATACCACCATGGCTCTTTATGGTCCAATTGGGTTTGGCACTTCTTTCAGATATAACAGTTGCCTCATGCTTGTGGGATCATTTCTTTGGAGCCTGCAAATTTTCTATACTGTGTAACCTGTGTTGGTAAAATAAACATATGTTCATTACCCTTTGTAGATTTCTTGTGATGGTAATTAAAGTTCAAATCTAATACACGTGTCTATTTATCCTTAAAGAAGAAGTCTCAGTCCATGGCTGGAATAATTCACAAGTAACCCACACTTGGAGAAAGCTAGAGTTTTTCATCTGTCTACTGAATCAAGTCAGACCTGAGAGAGAGAGAACAAGCAAGCAAGCAGAGAAGAGAAGACATCTGGTCTTCTCTGCAGTTCCTCTCAGGGGAGGTTCCTTGACATTGGCAAGTGGGCTTTTGACCTGAGGATTTGAATATGCCTGCCTTCATTGAACCTGAATGCCTCCATAGGCACTGTATTATCCATACAGGTTTAGCACATTTGCATTTTCTTGTTTATGACTTGATAATCTTAGAGGCTGAACCATGCAAAATTTCTTCCGAGTGGTGGTGGTATTATAATCATGGGGAAGTGCAAAACCTGTAGGATTATACAACTTTGAAGGGAATGGAAGGTATTCAGGCTTAATCCAGGGAACGAGCACAGATCCATTTCCCTAGATCAAGAGCTCCTCACCAGCATCAAGAGGAGGCCTTGATGTTATTGGTGTAGAAAAATATCTTAACTCTGGCTACACAATGATGCAAGAATCAATGTCCTACGACGCTTCTACAAGGAATTAGTTATTTATATCATGTATGGTGACATTGGCACTGGCCATCATGACTGCTCACATCCCGTAAATTTTTTGGATTTTTCCGTTGTTTCTTGCGTTATTTCTTGTATTATTTTTTTAATATAATAATTGACTATTTGGCATCATATAAGAGTGGGTGGAGTTTATACGACGAGTGTTAACCAATCAAGAACCAGCTTGCAACATCCCGGCACTGGGAAGGCAGGAGTAGTCCAGAGAAAATTCATCATTATTGCGCTAATGTCAACTCACGGCTTATTTATCTATCGGAATTGATCTAATATGATATAATAAACCCTATAAATGACATATAAACATGATATATACACTAGAATTAATAAAATAGGGCATAATATGACGAGTGTCTATCAGCGATATTAGGAATAAAATAATTTCCCCTTCCTATATCGTCTTCTATGGCCTTTGAGTAAGAGAAAACTGTGTTTTTGAGAGGATACTTAGCACTTCTTTTTTGATAATAATAATAACAGTATTTTCCACACTGCGGCCGGCCAGAGTTCGTTGCTAAACGACTCAAATTACTCCTTCCTTTAGGAGATGATTCCAGCCGGTTCTGGCTTGAGTGGCTGTTCTCCTAGTAGGTCTTACTACGATTTCATCTTCCGGCATCATTTGGTCTGCGTTATCTTCCATATCACTCGTGTCACTTTCCCTCAGATTTTCATTTACATTTGATTGAACACCTAATTCCAAGGGAATCAATTTATTAATTGTGCGTAAATTTTCCTGGCCATGACACAAAATTTGACATTCCTGACAACACCTTGTGCATCTGGGTACAATGTCAATACTTTGCCCAGAGGCCACAATGTTCGATGTTGTTCATTGTCAATTAACACAATGTCACCTGGTTGAATGGTCTGTCGATTTACTGCCTCTGTCGCACCATAAAAGTGTTCACGTAGTGTAAGAAGATATTCCTTACGCCACACATTAGACCAATGATCAATTACTTTATTTAACATTTTAAATTTATTACACAACACTGCCGCATCATTGTAATCTTCATCACTTTCTTCCGGATTATCTCTATAGACAGGGGCAGCTTCCAATTTCCTTCCACATATTAGGTGAGAAGGTGTTAATACATCTGCATCAGGTGTATCACTCATGTACGAGAGAGGCCTATTATTTATACGATTCTCCACCTCCACTAACACTGCACGGAATTCTTCCAAATTAATTCTCTTCCGGTGTAGTACTTTACGGAGACACCTCTTCACTGTGCCTATCAGTCTTTCGTACAGCCCCCCCTGCCAAGGGGCTCTAGGAGTAATGAATTTCCAGAGATTGAACATCGTTACTATTATTTAATTCTATCAAATGTTGAGCACCTGCTACAAAATTTGTGGCATTATCCAAAATCATCAATCTCGGACAGGATCTCCTAGCTGCAAATTTTCGAAACAGCTGTATAAACTGTTCTGCAGACAAGTCCTGTGCCACTTCTAAATGAACTGCCCTAGTAGCAGTACAGGTGAACAAACAAACATACACTTTCAGTGGAACACCATCTGAAGTACCTGTTAAAATTATTGGACCACTATAGTCTACACCTGTTACATCAAATGGTTTCACTAATTGTACACGCTCCTTTGGCGATGGTGGAGGACCTGGGTACATATAGGATCTGGCATCCACATTACATCCATATTACACAAGATTTAATTACCCTTTTTACACTTTGCCATCCTTGTGGAATCCAGAAAGTTTCCCTAATACAATTTAAGGTATCTTGTACCCCACCATGCATTACATTTTTATGGGCATTTAGAACAATTAAATTTGTTAGATGATGAGATTTGGGCAGTAAGATAGGGTGTTTAGCATAATCATCCAATTCAGCATTTTGTAACCTACCTCTGCACCTAATTACATTGTTCTCTAAATACAGCCCCAATTTCTCTATTATGGAACCTTTCACAATTTTTCTTTCCATCATCAATTTAATCTCATTTCCATAGATTTCTTCTTGTACCCTCTTTATCCAATATTCAAGAGGATGTGAAAACTTAAATGAAATATTCATCTTGTTTAGAAATTTAAACACCAACTTAGTTACATTGATTAGTTTGGGTAAAGAATACCTGTTTATATCAATGGCTAAGGGAGGACAAATTATTGGAGCGGTGGTCACAGTAATTTCAACAGGAGCAATATACGCCTTTTGTACAGGCCAATTAGCTTTATTTACCAACCAGCTAGGTCCTTTAAACCATGATACAGCATTTACAAATTTAATATAAGGTAAACCTCAAGACAAGAAATCAGCTGGATTCTCCTCACCTGGTATATGATTAAATGTTAACATATGCTGACCCAAACTATTATACTTCTCTTGCATCTGATTAATTTCAGCGACTCTGTTTTGTACGTACACAATTTTACTGTTTCCATTACGAATCCATTGTAAGGATACCTCATTATCAGACCAAATTACAGTGTCGCTAATATTTATCTCCTGCAACTTATTTCTTATATAATTAGCTAATTTGACACCTACATAAATGGCTGCTAATTCCAACTGAGGCAAGGTGCATGATTTAATTGGAGACACTTTAGCCTTAGACATAACAAGAGAGATAACACTATACATTGAAGGTAAGAAAACTGCTCCATATGCCAATTTTGAAGCATCACAAAAAATGTGGAGTACATTTTTTTCCCATTTGGATTGGCCACCTGGCGTGGGAACTTCAACATTGGAATTTTCTCATAATCACCATTAATTCATCCACCTATTAATGAATTCCTCAGGTAGAATTTCATCCCAAGCACATTTAAGTTTCCATGTTTTCCTGAAATTAATAATTTCCCTCTTATAGTAAGGGGTGACACTAAACCTAGTGGATCAAAATATTTGGAAACTTCAGCAAGCAAAACTCTCTTAGTTAATTTGTTGGCATACTGTAATTATTAGGTTTTAACATTAACAAATCTCTCTCAGTATCCCAAGTTAATCCCAATACATTACTACATTTTGGCACTTCATCTCCAGGGTGTTTCTTTACTTATTTTGTCCTTTAATTTGGACAAATTTACTATTCCATTCCCTCAAGGCATATTTGCACTTTGCATTATTTTATTAGCCTCTCCAAAAGTCATTAACAGTTCCTCTTCAGTTGATGTCACACCCAGGAAATTGTCCACATAAAATTGTTTGCTCATTACTTTACTCAATGGACTTTCCATATGTTTAAGGTGTGCATTTATCGTCGCTTGAAGTAGGAATGGACTGGATGTAGCACCAAATAATACGCTCCTAAAGCGAAAGGTTTTCAGAGGGCTAAGTGGGTCAATAGGATTCTCAGGCCATAAGAAGCGGGTACAATCCCAGTCAGCCTCTTGTAAACCCACTCTTAGGAAAGCTTTACTTATATCAGCCGTAAAGGCATAATGCTTCACTCTGAATTTAATAAGATATCTCCTAATTTTCCATCAACGACGGACCTGTCATCAAACAGTCATTTAAACTAGGTACATTTTTGTTACCCCTGGCACTACAATTAAACACAATCCTCAAAGGAGTGGTCTTAGAATCCTTCTTCACTCCGTGATGGGGCAAATAGTGACCATAAATTTGGCTTGCTCAGGAGGTACCTTTTTCTATAAATTTATTAATTAACTGCTCAGCAATTATATCATTATAGGCAGTTAACAATTCTGGTGTCTTACCCAGTTCGCAGAGCTGAGCCTTTTAACTGTCCATATGGGCCATTTCTGTAATTATGGCATTCGGAGGGTTCATCTCCACGAAGCCGCACCGAAATTGTTCAGATTAAAATTTTTTTAACATCTCTCGGTATTGTTCCAAGTAAAGAATCGTCTGGCTTTTTTCTTTTAAACATTTATTCCAGTGCTGTCTAATTCCCACAATTTATGCACTGGCTAAACACCATCCTCTATGGAAGAATTATACGGGAGTACGATTTCATGAGTAAGACACACAGTTATGGTATTTGTAGTTTCCTCTAGTCATGAATTAAATTTTTACGAGGAATCCTACCATACATTACATGGCCTCCTGCAGTCTTCAAAAGGTGACACCACATTTCTTTACCATACCCTTTACAAAGGAGCATAATAGTCATACCTATCAAAATATTTATTGGGCCTACAGAATCATCACTTACACCAGAAGGTGCTAAATTTATATTATGTGAAAGTCTTTCTGTAGCTTTACTAAGCCCTACTGTAGATATTTTCTCTGGGAAACCTATCTACAATTACTGCATTAACACGTTTTTTCTCATTGCCCAACCTGACAGTTACATAAACAGTGTCATACAATTGAGCTCTTTTATTTGAGAGAAAACCAGATAATTTTAGAGTTGTAGGATCTCCCATCTGTACTTTCAT